ACAAGGCATGTTTTAAGGATGAATGCTATTTCATGGTATGCACGTGCTGCCTTTTCTTCGTGCATCTGCTGACGGACGTTTGTGTCGCTTTGCTTCTTGGTTAATGTGAATAATTCTGCGCTGAGCGTAGGTGAACAAATAGCTATGTGGGATTCTACTTTCAATTCTTTTGGGTGTACCCCTGTGAGACTGTTGGGTCATTTGACACTTCTATGTTAAATGTTTTGAAGATTTTCTGCCTGAGCCCCACTATTTTATATTCCCATTAACCATGCATAAGAGTTTGGATTTCCCCACGTCCTCAGTGACATTTATTGTCTATCAATAGATAGTGGCTGCTATTTTAGTGGTGTTTATCTCATTGCCATTTAGACTTGCGTTTCTGTTGCTTTGTTGAACATCTTTTCCTGTGCACATTGGCCATTTGTGTGTCTTCCTTGGAACAATGTCTATGCAAGCCCTGTCCCCAATGAAAAATCAGATTTGTTGTCATTATTGAGCTGTGTCCTTTATAGATTTATAGATTTATCAACCCCTGAATGGACACACGATTGGCAAATACTTTCTCTCATAATGAGTTGCGTTTTAACTTTGTTGGTTTTTGCTTTTGCTGAGAAGTCCACGTTTGATATAGTCCTCTTTGTCTACTCTTTCTTTTGTCGACTTTGCTGTTGGTGTTATAGCTGAGATCTCATTGTCAAGTTGGAAGTCATGAGGCTTTCTCTCTATTTTTTATTTAGGAGCTAAATAGTTTTACATTTAATTCTTTAGTGCATTTGAGTTGTTTTATATGTGTAGTTTTTTACATAGTTCATGTTCCAACTTACTCTTTTGTATATTCTTTTTGGATATTCAGTTTTTGTAATACACCTTTACCCTTTCCTTTCCTTCCCTTGCCCTCTTTCCCCTTCCCTCCCCATGCCTTTCTCCCTCCCTCCCTTCCTTCTTCCCTTCCTCTCTCCCTCAATTCCTTTTTTTCCTTCTGGCACTGGGGATTGAATCCAGAACCTTCACATTGAGCTATTTTCATCATCATTATTATTGTTTTCATTGTTGTTGTTATTGTTGCTATTATTATTGCCATTATCTTAAATTTTGAGGCAGGCTCTCGCTCACTTGCTAATCACTTGCTAGGCTGCTCAGGCTGGGCCTGCGCTTGCTCCTGCTGCAGCCTTCTACAGTGCAGGTGTTACAGGTCTGCACCACCTTGCCTGATCATAATTATTTCTGGAAGAGACTGTCCCTTCTCCATTGTGTAGCCCTGGGACTCCTATCAAAGAGCCTTCCACTACTTGGTGAGGGTTTATTTCTGGGACATGCTGTCCCACTGGGCTCTGTGCTGGTGCCATATTGCTTTGATTTCTGTAGCCCTGTAATATGTTTTGGAGTCAGAAAACGTGAATCCTCTAGTTTTGCTTTTCTTTCTCAACATTGTTTTGGCTACTTGGAGATCTCTGGAATTCTAATTTTAGTATTTTTATATTTATGCAGAAATGCTATTGATATTTCTATGAATTGAATCTGTGTTGCATTGAATTCGAAGACGACCCTGAGCAGTAGGGATGTGTTAGTGATTTGTCTTCATACTGTGTGCATGGGACGCAGCTCTGCTTATTCACACCTCAGCTTCTATCAGCAGTGTCTTTTGCTTCCTTGATTAAATTTATTTTGAAATTTTTATTCTTTTTTCTTTTCTCCCTCGGTACCAGGGATTGAACTCGGCACCTTATGCTTGCCAGGCAGGCACTTATGCTGCTGAGCTACCTCCCCAGCTCCAGAAATTTTTATTCTTTTTGATGATATTATAAATAGAATTGTTATCATTTTAAGTTCTTTTTTTGGTGGAATTATTACCCTAATTTCTTTTCTAGATGGCTCATTATTCATGGGTTTAAAACCAGTTTAGAAGCATTTGGCCTTTTAGAATCATATAATTAAAAGACTGCGGTTGGAAATCTGATGTAGACTAGAACATCTGAGAGAAAGGTGTGTCGGCGCTTGCTCACGGCGGTGCTGAATGCACGTAGATGCTGTAATGCATCACAAGATCCTCTTGGTAGCCTTCACACCCTGGCAGTGAGACAGAAATTATAATCGGATCCCAATCTCTCTAGGTTAAATGCATTTCAGTTTCTCAAGTCGAATGGGATTTCCTCACTGTGGTCTGTACCACACTCCCAGGATCGAAGAGCGTGCTCTGAAACTCGGTGCAAGAAAAATAAAGAACAATTTCCCCTGCTGATGTTGGGGTTGGCTAGCACCTCTCCCTTAGGCCTCTTTCGAGAAATTGGCCATCCCCGCCAGTCTCAATAGGCTACGTGGAGGAGAGTGCCACTGAGAGGTGCCAGTCCCCATTCAGTTCACAGAGCTTGAAGGTCTAAACGCCTGCAAGCACCAGGGCTGAGTCCAGGGCCCAGCCAGGGAAGACACTTCAGCTGGTGACACAAGAGGCAAGAACGTAGCCAAGGGAGACACAGCCCGTAGCCTGCTGCTCTCGAGCAGGCGGACCGTTTCCTGGGGTGTGAATGCGCACTGTTGCAAAAAGATGTTAGGAAACATATGTTTGGTGAATTCTGGGTTAAAATGCAACCTGTTTCCGAACATCGTTTCTTTACTGGTGGCAGCTGCCTTTACTGGGCACTGTCGCTCTTCCAGAAGGAGATGCTCTCCCATGAGAATGAGTTCTCATGCGATTCCTCTGGAAACGCTGTCAAAACCTGCCTGCTGGAATTCGCTTGCGGCCCTTTCTGCGTCAGCACTCTGCGAACGCTTTTGCCCTGTGAACTTGCAGGCGGCTGGCAGGGGAGGTGTTAGGCTTGCCATGCTCATGTTATAGATGGGGAAACTGAGGCTGGGCACAACTCCCTGACCTTCCCGAGGGAGGGTGTGGTGGGTCCAGGATTCTCGTGTATCTGAGTCCAAGTAGCTTTCGTTTCCTGCCGTTGCAACTCCTCTGATTCCAAAACGGCCCCACTTGAGGCTGTCAGACTCGTGGCCAAGAATCAGTGTGCTGCAAGTGGAGGAAAGCTTTCCTTCCTTTGTGCTCCTCTTACTGGCCTGCGGGTTGGGGGCGCCATTCCTGTCCCCACAGCTGAGTAGCTGGTGTTGAGCCTTGATTTCTTCCCAATAATCATAGAGATCAGCCCCGATCCACAAGGGTCACGTGGGGAAAATAAAATCTGTTGTGAGGAGTTGCCACAAGGTAGGGACAGACAACGTGGACACCATAAGGTCAAAAACCATGTGATCACATCTGGACCCACTGGGGTTGCCAAGCCCTTTGCCCTCAGGACTGTGACCCAAACTCCCAACCAGGGAGGCCTTGGCTAGGCCACTCTAGATCAGTCTGGGCCAGTACCAGGGACCTAAGTTACCGTGGAACCACACACAGTGGAGGTGTGGGACTCCTCCTCCAACAGTTATTAAGAATTCCAGGGACAGCCACCGCCCAAGTGTGGCCCTTCTGCATGCAAGGTCTTCTTGCAGACCCATCACAGCTGAAGATAAAGCCAGGGGCACCCAGCCTTGGGCTCCGAGATGTGGTAAGAGGTGCTGTCCTGGCAAGGGGGCGTCCCTGGACAGATCGCCGAGGCAGCTCTCTGCAGGCCCCAGCGTAGGGGCGAGGAGGCACGAGTGGATGTGCTGCCGGGGGTGGGAGGAGAAGGGCATTGGCCGGGCGAGGTCTGCGGGTGTGGGCTGTGTGGACCTGTGCTCCTCTGCCTGGACATCATGCTTGCAGTTGTGGGGGACGCCGCGCAGCTAGCACCCTGCATCAGCCTGGCTTCTTAGTCTGCCAGGTTCCGTCTCCCAGGCTGCTGCCACTGCGGGAGTGGAGGCTGCCTCAGCAGGGCAAGCGCTGAATAGCAGGAGAGCGAGACGGGGCAGGAGAAGGGGCCTCGCTGCCCAGGGGCTGTGCATGCTGTGAGCTGGGCACAGCCCGGCGCATCCAGGACCAAGCCTCTCCTCCACACCCTGTCAGACGTGACTGTCACATGCCAAAGCCAGCTGTCACATGCCTGCCGCCTCTGCCACCAGTGCCCTGGTGTCCTGCTAGTCAGGCAGAAATGCACCATGTCCAAATTGACAGCTGCCTCGGTCCAGAAGGCAGAAAGGCTGAATTGCAAGGTACCTAACTGGCGGGAGCAACAGTTGCTAGATGCAAAGAGCCTCATGCGTGTGTTTAAGTCAGGCTACTCTCCTGGCACATCAGACCTTTGGCTCATGAGTAATTTGAGTGGAGAAAGAGAATGTCTTCAGGTTGCGGTGACGTGCCTGTGAATGCCCACGACAGTGTTGCTGTGCTCCTCTCACCCGCTCAGGAGCGTCCAGCCAGGATGGGAGCGGCTCCGGCCATGCCCCTGCTTGGCCCACAGCGGTGTCTCGCCGCTGCTTGCTGCCCACCCCTGCTCGCCCTTGGGGACCTGTAGGTGTGTGTAGTGTTTGTGCGAGTACAACTGAATTCTGTGCTGCATCAACGTCATGATGTGCCTGGGGCAGTGCGAAAGTGGTGAGGTTTTCATTGTGTGAACGTCATACACTGGGCTTACGCAATTAGAGGGCTGTAGTGTTCCTAGGCGATACGATCTTATGGGTTCAGCTTTATATGCCTTGTCACTGACTAAAATGCCATTATGTGAGGTATGATTGCATGTCAGTTTTGTCTATCATCTATCTTTTAATCATCTCTCTATTAGCTATCCTCGATCTATTGATTGATCAATTCATCCCTCCTTCTCTCCTTCCCTCACTCCTCCCTCTCTCTTTCCCTTCCTCCCTCCCTCCTTCCCTCCCTCCCTCCCCTTCCCTCCCTTCCTTCTCCCTCCCTCCCTCCATCCAGTACACCCACCTCTTGTTTTTTTTCATCTATTAGATGCAGCTTTAAAGAGTGATTCAGCCACAGAGTCTCTCAGAAGCCTAACAAAGACACAGGAAGCATCTCATTTTGAGTACTTTTGCAGCCCAAGAGTGACCACTATCTTCTGTCCCATTTTCTCTTTTAGGTTCATACTTGGTGCTTAGACAAATTCAAAATGAGGAGACATCGACATTTGCCCTTTGTGGCCGCCTTTTGCCTCTTTCTCTCAGGCTTTTCCACGACGTACGCACAAGCAGGTAAGACCCAGAAATGCCCTTCATTTTATACGAAAGGAGAGGATTCTTTGATTTTAGAGCTTAGATCTTAGACACTGTGGGCTGGACATAGAGCTCAGGTCAAGTTGCAGGGATGTTCGGTTTCAGAGGAGCAAAAACTAGTGAGAAGACAACTATTGAGATTAAAAATACTTTTCCCTGCAAAACAAAACAAAACAGAACAAAAGATCACCTTCTTTAGCTCACCCTGAATACAAAACCTCATTTTGCACCTGTCATGGGAGTTTTAAAAACTGTTTCCCAAAATGACTTTAAAGAGTAGACCCTCAGAAGCCTACTAAGAACTTGCTGTCAGAGTTTCCGGAGAGGGAGAGAAGCTTCATGCGTGGCGAGGAAGAGTTGAGGCAGGTCTCTCTCCTTTGCCTGGAGAGCAGGGTCTCCGTGGAACTTCCTCCAGCCCACTGTGCTGCCCTAGAAGGGGGCTGCTGGCCCAGGAGCTGGGCTGGGCCTCAGCTTGGGCTGAAGTAAGTGGAGTCCTGGAGCCAGCCCAGGCCCAGGAGCTGGAGGGCTCCTTCCTGCACTGCCCGCCCTGTTCCCAGAGCTCCTGTGTTTGCGGGAGACCCGGATGCACCTGGGAATGAGATCAGTGCACCCTGTGTCTGTGCAGGCTCTTCTGGCTCTGGAAACCACGCAGTGAAGATTGCAGTTAGAAAACTGGTTATGCTCAGAAACTGAGGCAGAATGAGCCTTTCCCCAGTCTACATTTATGTAGCTCTTCCTCAAAGAAGATGGGCATATTATATTTCTTGAAAATTGTGGGACCAGGGATATAGCTCAGCAGCAGAGCGCTTGTCTGGCGAGGGCAAGGTCCTGAGTTTGATTCCTCGTGTGCCCCTTAAAAAGAAAATTACTTAGAATACAGGGGTTAGTTCTTATAAGATAGCAGCAGTGTTCATATTTCCGTCTTATCGAGGCTCAGTCTTGTACCCCAAAACAGAGAGCGAATTTCTGAGACAATGGACAGTCATCAGTGACAAGAGAGTGCTGTGTTCTGGTCAGGTGGGTCTTAGGGGTCAGATTGCCACAAAGAATCATGCTTGAGTCCAGAACAGCCCAGGAGTTTCCCCCCATTCTGGAGCACGTGCCTGGCCACCAGAAATGAAACCTGGGCCATGCCGAGCCTGGTCAGCCTCTGCGGCCTTGTGCCTGGGCCCCCTTCTCAGGTAAGTAGCCTCTCTGTCCACCTTGCAAGCGAGGTGTGAATATTCATGACCCAAGAGTAAGCGGAGTTCAGGCAGGAAGCCTTTGCATTGGTAGGAAGTTACTGCTTGAACGGGAGAAAAATCTAAAACAATGTCTTCTTTTAAAGATGTCAAAAATGGTGCTGCTGCCGATATTATATTTCTAGTGGATTCCTCTTGGAGTGTTGCGAAGGAGCATTTCCACCTGCTTCGAGAATTTCTGTATGATGTTATAGAATCTTTAGTTGAGGGAGAGAGTGATTTCCATTTTGCTCTGGTCCAGTTCAACGGAGACCCACATACTGAGTTCCTGTTAAATACGTATCACACTAAACAAGAAGTCCTTTCCCATATTGCCAACATGTCCTATATTGGGCCCAGCAATCGGACCGGAAAAGGAGTAGAGTACATAATTCAGCAGCACCTCACTGAGGCTGCCGGAAGCCGGGCCACGGCCGGAGTCCCCCAGGTGATCGTAGTGCTAGCCAGTGGACACCTGGAGGACGGCTTCGCTCTGCCCTCAGCGGAACTTAAGTCAGCCGGCCTGAACGTGTTTGCAGTTGGAGTTGAGCATGCGGACGAAGGCGCCTTAAGAGAAATAGCAAGTGAACTGCCCAATGCGCATGTTTTCAACCTAGAGAACTTTACCTCCCTTCATGACATAGTGGGACACCTAGTGTCCAGTGTGTACTCATCTGTGAGTCCTGCAAGGGCTGGGGACGTGGAGACCCTTAAGGACGTCACAGGTAATGGCTCCCCCCAGGCCCAGGCCGCTCCCTGCTGTGCTGCTCCACGCAGATAGACCAGCTTGGCACCTGCCGCCCTTACAGCACCAGCGCGCCTGAGAGAGGGTGGAGCGCGGGGGAGAGATGAGTGTTCGCAGGCTTAAAAACAAAGGTTTGCGCATCCTCGGTGGTCTCTCTCCAACCCAGCAGGCACCTACATCTGGGAGGACGACTTGGCTTTGGAAACAGCTAGTATCTGAGCTCTGAGAGGCACACTCTAGTACGGTCCCTCCCTTCCTTAGGAGAGAAAGTCTCCACCTGTGGGTGGGCATCTGACAACCCCTCATCTGAAGGGGGATGCGGCCCTCACTGCTTTGGCAAAGGTGCCTCACAGGAAGCATGTGGGTTAGGGAAAGAGGCTGGCCACTTCTGTGACCAGCAGGATGGCAGAGAGTGTGGCTCTCCCACTCTGTGGAATTGGTTTCAAAGGATTGACAGAATCAGAGTGGTTAGAGGCCTGAGGCATGATCAAACCCAAGTCTGGAAGGAATTGAGTCCTACTAGGTGGGTTGGTGACAGGTGGCTGGCGCTGAGCCCTGGGGCGGACTGCTCACAGGTCACCAGGGCTGCACGTGTGTGGTCTTTTAACCACCCCTGCCACCAGCTTCCCTGCCCGTGCGCCATACCTTCGACCCTGATAGTCCCCCAGTGCCGTAGGCTGGATGAGTGGCCAGGGCTGGCTTTCCCTGACAGGCAGGATTCAGGGCAGCCTGTGTAGCACACAAGTGCACAGCCACTTGGCAGCTGTAGCTGAGAGTGCTGGGTCCAAAGGGCAGGCAGTTAGGGAAGGGTGAGATGGGAGGAAGGGGTCCTCTGAGGTGGCAGGAAGGGCCCAGAGTTGTAGGGTGGACAGGAAGGAGGTTGGGCTAGCTCACGGGGGCTGGCACTAGTCACCTCAATAAAGGAAGTGGCCAGGTAGGGCCTTCCTTGGGCCTGGGAGCTGGTGTGGAGCCGCTGCTGCAGGGGGCGCTGCAGCCACAGCGCTTCCAGGAAGCAGCTGCCGACCTGCAGCGACACCCCGTGTGGCCGAGGTGACCAGCTGCGTCCTCGCTGTTAGCCTTGTCCTGGCTTTCTGCAGCCCTTGCAGGCTCTCCCAGGATGTGTGGCTCAGCAGACCTGGAGCTTGCCGAGGGATGTCCGAGCTGCGGTGGGAAGCATGGGGCTGGTACAGGGAAACAGTTCAGGGTTCTGTAATAGGGATTTGGAGAGCCAGGAGCAGGGACAGGTGGCTAGATACCAGCAGGAAGGGGCTGACTGTGAGGCCCAGGCAGAGCTGGCTAGGATGAAGGCCTTGGAACCAGCAGCTCCTCAGTCCACCAGAGTTTGCCCATCTGGGGGTTCCCCAGGATTCTAGCTTGAGGGCAGGGCACAGTCCTCCCCTCCCTACAGGGCTACTTCTGGTAGGCAGGACAGAAGCTGGCCTGGGAGGTGTAGCGGCAGCCCTGGAAGTGTCCCCTGCTTCCAAATGCTGTCCGTCTCCTCTGCCATGGCCACGAAAGCACCAATCCTGCCAGATGGCAGGTGGGTACGGTGGGTGTCCTCAAGTTCCCCAGACCCACATGCCAGGTTCCCAGGATGGGACAGGAGGGTCACATGACTGTCCCACTCTGTTCGCACTGAACTCTGGGCTTGCACAACTCACTGCCCTCCCATCTTTCGGAGCACAGAGGCAGCCGCAGTGGACGGTTGCAGAAGAAAGAGGCAGCATTCCTGCCGCGCATGTCTAGGCTAACACAGAAAAAGAACGGATGGCTTTGCCTCCACATCTAGGCATTAGGTGGATGGACACAGTGGGGCCCCTGTCACGGATGCAAACGCCCCTACTGGCCTAGCACCTTTCCACGCAGATGGCAAAACCTTTGTTTTTATGCCGGGAAAGCATCTCTGTGTTCTAGTGCGCAGCCACTAGCAGCACCGGGGGAGCATACATCTGTGTCCTCTCTCCTGATTAACTGCACGGGGCCATCCCTCCGGTGGCACATCCCACTGCATGTCTCACAGCAACAAAATTCTGCAAGACACCTCTGGAATGGCAGCAGGACAGCACGTCCGCGCTGCAAGCTTCTGTGGGTGCCCAGGAGGGACTGCCGAGGAGTTAGGCCTTCTCTCTCTCCTCAGTGCTGCAAGTAGGGTGCTTCTGCCTGCAGGGCCTGCTGGTCAGGAGGGCAGAGCTAGATACAGATAGAATGCTAGTCACTGTCATCTTCCAGACTCTACTCTCTCTCCAGTGGTTGTGTTTTTTTTTTTTTTTTAATTCCATTGTCTCTGCTTTTCAAACAGAGATAACTAAGATATGAAATCTTTACTCTAAAATGAAAGCTAAGAGCCGGGAAAATAGCTCAGTGGCACAGCACTGCCTGATAAGTACAAGATCCTGAGTTCGATTCCTTGTACCCACAAAAAAAAAAAAGGAAATAAAATAGAAAGCTAAGCCAGTGTGGTGGCACACGCCTGCCATCCCAGCACTTGAGAGGCTGAGGCAGGAGGACTGATGTGACTATGAGGCCAGCCCATGTTCCATAGCAAGACTCTGTCTCAAAAAATTCACAAATGAAAAAAGAAAGAAAGAGAGATAAAGGCAGTAGGATTTCAGCATACATTTGCTTTTCTTTCTGTGTGCTATGAGGATTTCCAGAACTGGAGATTGTGCCTACAGGCTCATGTTTTGCACAGGAGGTGAGAACACACTGCTGTTCTTAATGCAGGGAAGCGCTCCGTGGGCTGAGGCAGGTGTCTCGTCCACACCACATGTTCAGGAAAGTTTTCAGTGCCAAACAGGGAGCCTGGTGGTGTCCTTTGGAGCCTGTGACACTTTACCACAGAAAATGCCACACAGGGCTGGCCAAATAGCTCAGTGGATTAGAGCGCCTGCAAGCAGGTGCAGGGGCCAGGGTTTCCTTCCCCAGGCCTGCCGTACGGGCCCCGCCCCTGGGACACATTGAGATGGAGATTGAGACTGGCATGCGCCTGTAATCCCAGCACTTGGGAGGCTGTAAACAGGAGAATCATTATGAGTCCAATCTAGTAGTGAGACCCTGAACACCCTATAAGCCTTTCCCTAAAGATACAGGAAGAAAGAAAGAAAGAAAGAAAGAAAGAAAGAAAGAAAGAAAGAAAGAAAGAAAAAGAAAGAAAGAAAGAAAAGAAAAGAAAGAAAGAGAAAGAGAGAAAGTGCCACACAGGGTGTGACGCAAATGTCAGTCTAGCCAGGTCTGCTCTAGGGCAGTGGGTCCCACCCATGGTCTGCCTGCTGTGCACAAGTCCACGGCTTCCGGTGTTCGAGGCTTCGGCTCTCCTGGAATAACAAAGCATGCTCTGTTTGTCCCATGGTTGTGTGGAAAATGATGGTGTTTTTTATTCAGTGATGACAAATTATCCAATGTGTTTTTATGACCTGCTGCTGTAGGGGTTCATGCTCTTGGGAATATTCACAGAATTCCCCTTAGGGTCCGTTTTTCATACTTCTGCTGTGCCCAGACACAGCCCCAAACTCACTGCTACACAAGGGGGAACAGCATTGCGCCAGGACCCAGGTATCGCTTTTCCTGGCCACATGGATCGCAGCTGGTTTGGTTTCTGAGGCTGAGAGATTTTGGGATGTGGTCTGTAGCGTCCACTTCACACAGGGGCCACATTTCTGTGGCCAGTGCTGTCATCCACACTCCCTGGTTCTCAAGAGTGGCAGAGACTTTCGAGCTCTGAGCAAAGACTCAGCCTTACTTGGAAAGTTCGTGCCATGATTGTGAGACACAAGATCTTACTGACTCTAGCAGTTATCCCTCTTGTGCCTTGTGAGGAGGGCTATGACAGCAGTATTTCTGAGGTGAGCCCCCTCCTTTGTGAGGAGTCAATTGGCAAAGCTCTTGGCAGCTGGTGTGTATTTAAGAGAGAGAGCCGTGTTCCCGTAAGGGCCAGCTTGCACAAGAAATGCCTTCTCTAGAGCAAAGTGCTTCAATTTTATGAGAGTTCAATGTTTTACCACAGTGACAGTAAAAATAATTGAGCTGGCATTAAGAGAAATCTTAGCTATCAAGTGTTCCTTGGCATTCAGAATGGATGGCTTTACCTAAACATTGCCCAAACAGAGTTTTCTGGAACCCCAGAAGTTTTACACAAACAGCTCTTCTGCTCCCCATCACACAGTTAAGGTATTAAAAATATTCATTAGGAAGGATCTCACTTTTTTTTTTTTCTCATTTAAACCAATCTGACGTAAGTGTGCTCAGCCTTTGGAATATTCTGCCCTGGTTTATAGGCTCATAGATTGCACTCCACGGCTCAGAGCACTCGTGAAACGCTCATTCTTGGTAACCAATGGAAGGTTCCTGGTCACTGTCATGTGGGGAGGTGGCGTGGTCAACCCTTCCCCTGCCCCTCGTGATTCCAGAATTTCTCCCAATGGAGCTGCTCAGGGTAATCTGTTCAGGATGTCATAAAAGTGAAGTTGGATAATTATGTCATGACTGGTTTCCTATCTCTCTGCTTAACACGGTTCTGCATTGTATGACTGAATACAGAGGCAAGGGTGAAAGTGAACTGACAACCCTCAGCCCAACCCAGGTCTGCATTTGGGTTTCACACAATTCAGTGACTTGTGAGAAGGACAGACTGAGCCAAAAATTCCTCCAGTGGTTACTAAAATGAAGTGGGACTTCTGACTCATGACATCACATGTGTCAGCCATTTTGGTTTTTAAGGAAAAAAATGATAAAGAACCGTGAGGAATTCAGCAACATTCTGGGATGCCAGTCACCAAGCTGTGAGTCTGGGCCTTGCTGCCTCAGCTGGGGGTCTGCTGAAAGATTCTCATCATCACTTGAAGAGGCAGGAGAAATGGCCCATAATTAGAAACCATCCCTGGATTTTTGATAATCTACTCATTTATTTTTTTCCTGCAGGTATGTTAACATCCAGCCCCTTTTCTTCTAAGATTCAGTAGACACTTCCAGAATACATATCTGATTTTTCTCCTTCAGAAAAGTGAATATGATGTTTTGAAATTTGATTATAAGATCTGGTGTGACGGTGCATGCCTGCAGCCCCAGCCCTTGGGAGGCTGAGGCAGGTGGATCACTGTGGGTTTGAGGCTGCCCTGGACTACACAGTGAGACCCTGTCTCAAAACAACAACAAAAAAGAAAAAAAAATTAACAATAAAGTTGGCACAAATAAAAATTTAATACTGATGTCTCATCGCAGACCGTAATTTCTACGAAGTTGCCTCTTATCCATTCAGAATGCAGAACCCAAAGGGAATTTCACATTCCTTAATCACATTGTGTTTTGTCCATATTTCGTGTTTCTTATTGATTTCCAAAGAAACATGTCAGAACACCGAATGATGCATGTGATCACTTGTTCTAACGCTTTCACATTTTTTGCATTTCTTTCTTTTAAAGCACAAGACTCTGCTGACATTATTTTCCTTATTGATGGATCAAACTACACCGGAAGTTCCCATTTTGCAGTCATTCTCAACTTCCTTGTAACTTTCCTTGAGAGACTCCCAGTTGGACTTCAGCAGATCCGGGTGGGGGTGGTCCAGTATAGCGATGAGCCCAGAACCATGTTCTCCTTGGACACCTACTCCTCCAAGGCTCAGGTTCTGGATGCGGTGAAGGACCTCAAGTTCATTGGTGGGGAGTTGGCTAACATCGGCCAGGCCCTTGACTTTGTGGCGGAGCACCACTTCACCCGGGCAGGGGGCAGCCGGGTAGAGGAAGGGGTCCCCCAGGTGCTGGTCCTCATAAGCGCCGGGCCTTCTAGCGACCAGATCCACGACGGGGTAGTAGCTCTGAAGCAGGCTAGTGTGTTCTCATTCGGCCTCGGAGCCCAGGCCGCCTCCAGGGCAGAGCTTCAGCACATAGCTACCGAGGAAAGCTTGGTGTTTACGGTCCCGGAATTCCGTAGCTTTGGGGACCTCCAGGAGCAGTTACTGCCGTACGTTGTTGGTGTGGCCCAAAGACACATTGTGTTACAACCGCCAACCATTGTCACACAAGGTATGTATGCTCTCCTCACCATCTGTGGGACGGGGTGTGTTGTGTGTTGGATTGCACAGGAGGAAGGTGGACACCAGAGAGATTCACCTTAGGAAAACTTGTAAGTACCTGCAGGCCAGCCCTTCCATAATAATCTGGCTCCCAAGGGCGCTATTTGTGGTTGTGCTGTTTCCGAGCTCTACAGATCAGCAGGAGCGTGGAGAGCTCCCGGCTGCATGACTTGCGAGGAAGTGTTTTCAGGCCCACTCAACAAACCTGTTGTTTTGAGAGATTTTAAACATCATTTTATTATCTCTTTACAATCCAGCCAGCCCGGAGATGGGTTTCAGGGCTCAATACAGTTCTGAGAAAGCTATTCCAGGAGGCTGACACTGACTTCTGGGTCAGAATGCGAGAGGTGTGCTCCTCCACAGCCTTCCCCCAGCAGCAGTGAAGGAGAGCTTGTCTCCTTGCAGCCCATCTGTGCTGAGCATGGAGAGTTACACTACCAGGGAAAGGGACAGGAGAGCACGCAATGGCTGTGTCCTCATGCTGGGCCACTCTCGCCAGGCCAGTCCCTCCTTCAGTTCACCACCGTGTTGAGTGTAAGACCTTGTTCTTTCCTGCTTGCCCAATGTCTCATCATAGGACAGGCTCCGTGAAACCAGTGAATGAGCCAGGCTCCTGTAAGAGTGGCTGTCACATGCAGCCGGTTGTTTAAATTTTCCTCTGTAGAGCCACACATTTTCACAGCTCGTTTGTCCTAACTTTCTAAGTATAGGGGTGGGGCTAACAACTAATTGCTAGATTAATTACTGCTTCACCATTCCCATAGAAGTGGTTTTGCTTTGATAGAGGAGGGACGAAAATTTTAAAATAAACCACCATATGAAGGCCAGAGGGGAGCACTTTAAATTCTGAGGCCTTCTCGCGTGGCCTCCTTGTGGAGCGGTCTGTGCGTCACAGTACCCTGCTCATCAGTAGGTCCAGGTAGTGCGTAAAGGAGAAGGCACCATCCATGTGTGTCGTGAAATTCCAGCGGAGGTGACCTGATTTCCCCTGGAGGCAGGGATTGTATTGCCACGGCAGCTGTTGGCCCCAAGCTCAGGGTCTTGACATCTTGTCTCAGTGTGGACACCGGCCTGCGTCAGGGGACATGGTAGGAGGCGCAAATGAGGGTTACTGTGCACAGGACAGCCATGGATGGGCTTGCGGTGGGCTCGTTCAGGCTGCAGCATTTCCTCTCCATTCTGGGAGCTGGGAGGAGCTGGAGGTTGACGCAAAGCCAGGCCGGGAAGAATAGCGCATGTGTGTGGCGCAGGCCTCCCGCCTGCTGCTCTGAGCTCCTTGGCCTGCCTGCTTGGGTGCAGCTTTGTGTCCCTGAGAATTAAGGGAGCAATCCAAGGACAGTCTGCAGTCCTGTGAGGCTTCTCTGGTCATGCCCACTTGGGAAGCAGCTGATTTCCCAGGGTTGTGCCGTGGAGGAGGTGCCCCGGCTGGGCTGGCAGAGCCGCTCTGGTTCTGGGCCTCCCTCTGGCGGGTCGCATGATCGCAGGCAGGCTGTGCACCCTGTCTGCGCTCTGACTCCTGAAATGCTGGCCAAGGAATTGCACAAGATGAGACTTTTTTGTTCTGGAGAAGGTTCAACTTCTTTATTAAACAGGCAGAATATTACTCTCATTTCAGATTTTCCCGTGGCAGACTTTAAGTCTTTTATAAACATTACCTTTAGTCTTAGTGATTAACTTGTAAATATCTGGCAGATATTCCTGCTGTTTGGTGGGTACTGGGCACCATGCTGAGCGCTGAGCCATAGCAGTGGCCACAGACGCTGATGTGGCTGCTTGTCTCCTTCCCACCGTGAGTGTGGACAATGAGAATGCAAGCTAATGGGCAAGCAAGGCCTTCCTGCAGCCACATGAGCTGCAGAGGCATCACAGGGCTGCGTGAGAGGGAATGTGGGGCGGGGCTTAGGGACCCCTGGCCCAGAAGCTCAGGCTGCCTGCGGGTGCAGAGGAGACGCACACAGGACGCGGGGAAGTGTTCCAGGCGGACGAAGGTGTGGCCCTGCTACACCTCGGAACTTGGAACCTTCAGGAAGCAGCCGGGCTGGGGTGCCAGTGACTAGGGAGCGGGGGCCAGTCTCACTCCATATGTGGGAGGCTGAGGAGTGGCCAGGCAGGGGTGGTGGAGTCTGGGGTGGGCACAGGGCACTTGGGTACCTCTGGGTTCAGAAGCAGGGTTTGTAGGGAGTATGGCCAGAGAGCAGTGGGGACACCCACCCCAGGGTGACTCCACATGGAGGTCACTGGGGTTCTACGCAGCCCTAGTTCCACACACACCGGAGCTGGTCGCCCGTCCTCCCCAGGGCTCCCTGGTAGGGAGGACACTAGCACAGCTGCGAGAGGTGCTTGGTTTGGGAAGGGTGAGTGTGACAGTCACCTCTTCCCACATGAGGCACCACAGTGCAGCTAGCTTGCATAAGAATGCAAGCTAATGGGCAAGCAAGGCCTTCCTGCAGCCACATGAGCAGCAGAGGCATCACGGGGCTGCGTGAGAGGGAATGGTCCATGATTTCTGAATCATGGATGAGCGGGGCCACGCACTGCAGAGCACAGGTGGCCATGAGAGCTGTCTGTCATCTGTTGCGCGTGAGGTGCACGCTGGGTACGTACGTGATGGCGTCATGACGTCTTATAGAGGGGTATAGGTGAGCACTGACGTGTGAGTGTGTGTGTGTGTGTGTGTGTGTGTGTGTGTGTGTACATGGGTTGCCCCTCACAACAGAAAGGCATGAGAAGTCTGCTAGCTATTCACATGTTCAGGTTTATCTGTAAAGACATTTTAAACAAAAGGCAAAGGTTCACCCCAGAGAGATAGCAAGTTCTAAACTGAAGGAAGGACCGCGGCCCCTAGTGGGTCCTGTTGCCATGGCCACGGCCTTGCAAGAGTGCAAGAAGCTGCGTATGCACTGTTTTTAACTGAGCCCCTAAATTAAGGATGTCAGTGCACGAGGCGTCATCCTCCTGGTAGAACACAGTCCAGGGCTTTGTGCTGAAAGGTGTCCAGGAGGTGCAGGTGCACCTGTCCACACAGCGTCCTGATCACACAGGCCAGTGAGTTGGATCCAGGCCCATCCTCCCATCTTGCTGTCTTCGCAGGGCTGAGCTTACACCACTCTTGTTCTCAGGAGGCTCTTCCTTGCCTTTAACCCATGCCTCCTTTCCTTTGCTGGCTGTTGCAAGATCAACTTGCCACACAGCTGTCTGATGGCAGAGTGGCAGAGGGCCTCGTGGACACTTCCTCACGCTCAGCCACGTGGGTTCACGTCCATCTCGGAAACCTTCCAGGGTCCGGCTTGGGCACCGTGGTCCAGGGAGTTCTTTCTCCCCACCATGTGGGCAGCTCAGGCACATTCTGAGAGAACACCAGGAGGGGCCCCCAGTGCTAAGCCCACACTGACCTTGTGGTGACATTTTTACTTGTGGTTCATCTGTGAGCTATTACCGAAACACACATGACGCTGAAGACCTTTACAGCTCTTAAGTGAAAGACTCGGTGGCATGGGCTGGCTGTGATGTGGATTTCCTTAAAAAAAAAAAAACCCAAACAATTTGGAAAACTTTTATGATCTTAAATTTGTTTTTTTTTCACCAAAAAAGAAGCCATAGCATACAGAAGAAAAAAGAATGGTGTTCATACACTTTCAGCTTTTGTACTTAATGATGTGTGGTTCTGAAATCCAGATCTTGAGCCCAAGGGCTGTCTCAGCCGATACAGGCTGCTTTCATAACCCTTCATACTGTTGCTTCCTTCTGGTCCAGTTATATTCATGGCAGAAAGGGACTGACTGTCTTCTTAGTGACAACACACTATGACACTAAAACAAAATTTTTGTGTGACCAGTTTCAAACTTGTGTGACTCCAGGAGGTGGGGCTCAGGAGGGGAACCAGCTGCCATCCTGTAGGCAAGGATGCAGATGGAATGAAGGGGGGTGTTGTGACAAATGTCACCGGGGCGGCCCCTGACGTCACGTGTGCCAGGGTAGAGGGGGAGTACCTTGAGGTGAAGTCAGGCCATGCGACTCACCTTGCCATGTTGCTACCCGCAGTCATTGAAGTCAACAAGAGGGACATAGTCTTCCTGGTGGATGGCTCTTCCAAACTGGGGCTGGCCAACTTCAATGCCATCCGAGACTTCATTGGCAAGGTCATCCACAGGCTGGAAATCGGACAGGACCTTGTTCAAGTGGCAGTGGCTCAGTATGCAGACACTGTGAAGCCCGAGTTCTACTTCAACACCTACCCCAGCAAAAGGGAAGCTGTGAATGCCGTGCGGAGAATGAAGCCCATGGACGGCCCAGCCCTGAACACGGGCTCTGCCTTGGACTTCGTGCGCAGCAACCTGTTCACCAGCTCGGTGGGCTCCAGGGCTGCCGAGGGGGTCCCTAAACTCCTGGTGCTGATCACGGGTGGTAAGTCCCTCGACGCCGTTAGCCAGCCCGCCCAGGAGCTGAAGAGAAGCGGCATCCTGGCCTTTGCCATCGGGAACAGGGTCGCTGACCAGGCCGAGCTGGAAGAGATTGCCTTCGATTCTTCCCTGGTGTTCATCCCTGCTGAGTTCCGAGCCGCCCCCTTGCAAGCCATCCTGCCTGGCCTGCTGTCTCCTCTCAGGACCCTCTCAGGAACCACTGAAGGTAAAGTGGTGTGACTATTGCGTGCATGAGGGGGCCCATAGGCAGAGCCTTTGCTAAACACAAAGGCCTGAGGTTGGGTCAGGTTAGCAGAGAGAACTGCTCCCTGCTGGATCCCCTTACTCCCTCCCCAACCAAGACCCATAGATTCTGAGATACCCCACAGAGCATGGAGTGGTGAGGCTCAGGGCCAGGCTTCTGACAGCCCCTCCTGGCCCGGCTGGGGTGCAGCATCCCCTGCCAGGGATTCCTTTGGTGGGCAGTGCGGTGAGGCATGTGTGCCCCAGACCTGGTTCTTCCGACCCCACTGAATATGACTGCCAGTGAGAAGTTGCTTTCTTCAGACCTTGTGAGGTTCTGTAGCCTGTGAGTTAGATAAATGCAATCCCCTGTCCATAATGAAGAGAAGATGAATATCGCGGAACCAAACTCCCTGTGTAACTAGTGCATGCCTCCTGCATGGTGTCTGCTTCCTTTCACCGGGACTCTGGTTGTAGACATCCTCAAAGTCTCTCTCTCTCTCTCTCTCTCTCTCTCTCTCTCTCTCTCTCTCTCTCCTCTGTCTCTCTCTCTCTCTTTGTTTTCAATTTTCTTAAGACTTCTAATCCACTCTTTTATATATATATATATATATATATATATATTTTTTTTTTTTTTTTTTTTTTTGCAGAACCAGGGATTGAACTAAGATCCTTGCATTTGCCAGTCAAGCGCTTATCCTAGTGAGCCATCTCCCCGGCCCCTAATCCACTCTTTTATAGCCAAAGTTCAACTTCATAAACATAGGATAAAATTAGGCTAAAATGCCAGAGGCAAAAAAAAACCCCAAAAAACAAAACAAACAAGAAATCCAACAACAACAACAACAACAACACTTTTTTTGTTGTTTTGGTTTTTGTGAGATAGAGTTTGCTATGGAAGCCAGGCTGTCCTTGAACACTGATCTTCCTGCCTCAGCCTCCTGAGCACTGAGACCATAGATGTGCATCTGCACACCCAGCTAGGAAGTACGCTTTTTAAAGCACAAGCTAGATGTGTTAGAGAAAGCCAGCCATGACTTCAGTATCCATGGATGATAGGATTCAGGATTCCCTTGGATTTGAAAGTTCATGCGTGCTCTGGTCCCTGTATAGAATGATGTAGTGTTTCCACAGCAGCTACATGCATTCCCCCATGTCCTTTATATGGTCTCTGAATTAACTGTATCACCCAGTACAATGAAAATACTGCTTGTAAATTATCCTGTTTTTTAGGGCAGACTGATAAGGGAAGAAGCCCACATGTGTTCAGCGCAGACCTGATATTATTCCAAGTAGTTTTGATTTGCTGTTGGTTGAGTCTGCAGATGTGGAGCCCACAGATGGGTTCTAACCTGAGAATTTTAGTTCTTGTTCCTTGTAAGCATCCAGCTGGCCAAGGGCAGCGAGCCATCTCCTTTAGTTCCTGGCCACACCTGAGCCCGCCGTCTCCCTTTGCACCAAGTGCCTTGTGCACTGGCTGGGCCTCCCGGAGGACAGGAGTGGGTAGAGGTCAGCAGAGCATGGGGGGGAGCCTCCAGGGCAGAACGGACTTGTTCGGTTGTTCTCAGCTTGAGGAACCCGTGTGCTCAGGCTAAAGTGGGCCAACTGCCCAGGTCGCTTGTTACTGCACTCGGGAGCCCCAGGGGACCCACTCAAGCCCAGGTAAACCCAGCGGTCAGGGCTGTGTGGATGGATGACCCAGAAAGGCCAGCACCTGGTAGGGTGGGTTCATTTCCAGGGAAGCAACTCTGCGTTTCAGAGATCCCGCTGGTTGTGTGGGTTTCAAGCCTTCTAACTTTGGCACTGTTTCTGTCTGCAAGCCCGCTTGGGTTTCTGCACCTGGCTATTGACCAACCTCACCAGCACCAGCCACCTAAGAGGAAAATATGTAGCCGCTGCCATATTTTATGCCCTGGACACGCTTTGCCATGCTGCCACCCTGTGTGTCCTCATGTGGGCATGCGTGCCATGGGGCCGGCACGCATGGAGCCTTGGATGTTGTGCGTGTGTCTCACTTTGTTCTCTGTGCTTCACTGCAGTTCACGTAAACAAAAGGGATATCATCTTCCTTTTGGACGGATCAGTCAACGTTGGAAAAACCAACTTCCCTTATGTGCGAGACTTTGTAATGAATCTAGTTAGCAGCCTTGATGTGGGAAGTGACAACATCCGTGTCGGTTTAGTGCAGTTTAGTGACACTCCCGTGACGGAGTTCTCTCTAGACACATACCAGACCAAGGCCCAGTTGCTCACTCACCTGCGGGGCCTGCAGCTGCAGGGTGGCACGGGCCTGAACACAGGCTCCGCCCTCGGCTACGTCCAGGCCAACCACTTCACCGAGGCTGGTGGCAGCAGGATCCGCGAACACGTGCCGCAGCTGTTGCTCCTGCTCACGGCCGGGCAGGCTCAGGACTCCTATTTGCAAGCCGCCAACCAGCTGGCGCGCGCGGGCATCCTGACCTTTTGTGTGGGGGCCAGCCGGGCAAATAAGGCAGAGCTCGAGCAGATTGCCTTTAACCCAAGCCTGGTGTACCTCATGGATGATTTCAGCTCCCTGCCAGCCCTGCCGCAGCAGCTGATTCAGCCCCTGACCACTTACGTTAGTGGAGGGGTGGAGGAAGTGCCACTCACCCAGCCAGGTAAATCCCCCACCAGTGTGGGTCCCTCCATCACCTGGTCCATAGAGCCTTCGTGACCTGTGGGGGCCATTTGAACACAGCAGCCACGGGGACTACATGGAGGGTGATTAGTGGCTCATTTTGGTCATTTTTAATTTTTTTTTTATTTTAGGGAAGGGTCTGCAGGGTATTCAGGGTCTTACTATTAGATAGGACTCACAGTGATCCACTTGTTTACAGCCTCCCAAGAGCTGGGATTGCAGGGGCACGCCATCACGCCCAGTCTCAATGTGCCCTGGGGCAGGGCCGGCATGGCAGGCCCTGGGGAATGAGTCCCTGGCCCCGGGGCCTGCTTGCAGACACTTTAATCTGCTGTGCTATTTGGCTGGCCCTCTTGGTCAAATGTTTTGAACAGGGATTTAAGACCCTGTACCAGCAAGGCCAGAGAGTAGAGTGTGTTTGCTGGGGGAGCGTGGAACACCCAGTGCAGCGCAGCCAGCCTGCGAAGCCACATCCTCTATTCGGAAGCCCAGCCATGCTTGCACAGATTCTGGAGTTAAAATCCAGATGGGGAGGGAGAGGCAGGCTCTTTTATACATGCCTCTGCCCCGGCCTCACTCAGAATTATTTTCATTATGTGAAATTTTCATGTTCAGACCCCTGTAGTGCTAAAAATCATCTGTGTGTCTTCATGCAACAGTGAGATGGTTTCCAAAGGAAGCCGATGACCATTCCTAGTATCATCATGTCAGTGAGACATGGACGCACTGGAGCCACCAGCCTGCTGGCCTCATAGATGGACAAGGGAGCACTCCGGGAGTGCTTCCTGCAGTGCACGGGAGAGCACTGCTAGGCCTGACCACGAGCCATGGCTAGCATTGTTCTGGGTCTTAACTCGCAACCTCGCGGAAGCTGAAAAGGCAGTCCACTTGGGGCAGGCAGGCGGTGGCCCGCGTTCCCCTGGATGGTATTAGCTTCTGTCACTAGAGGTTTTAGCAAAAGGACAATGAAGACCTGAGTATTGCTGGTTTTACTTATAGCAATGAGAAAGTGCACTTGTTGAGCCAAGCCAGAGGACTTCCAGTGGGTGGCTTTGCCGAGGACTGAGGCACTGGGCAGGGGCAGGCCCTGCCCTGAGCTGGGCCTGGACTCCCACAGCCCGGTGCGGAAGATGTGGCTCTGCCTGGCTTGGTGTCCACATGGGTACTCCTGCTCACTGTGTGCTCTCTACTTTCTAGAGAACAAGCGAGACATCCTTTTCCTCTTTGATGGCTCTGCCAACCTTGTGGGCCAGTTCCCCACTGTCCGCGACTTTCTCTACAAGATCATCGAGGAGCTGGACGTGAAGCCTGATGGGATCCGTGTGGCTGTGGCTCAGTATAGCGATGATGTCAAGCTGGAGTCCCGCTTCAATGAGCATATGGCCAAGCCCGAGATCCTGAACGTGGTGAAAAGGATGAAGATCAAGACCGGGAAAGCGCTGAACCTGGGCTATGCCCTGGACTTCGCCCAGAGGTACATCTTCGTGAAGTCCATGGGCAGCCGCATCGAGGACGGAGTGATGCAGGTCCTGGTGCTGCTGGTGGCGGGGAGGTCGTCGGACTCTGTGGACGTGTCAGCGAGAAACCTGAAGCAGAGCAGCGTGGTCCCGTTTGTCTTCCAAGCCAAGAACGCCGACCCCGCCGAGCTGCAGCAGATCGTGCTTTCGCCTGCCTTCATCCTGGTGGCGGAGTCGCTCCCCAAGATCGGAGATCTGCAGCCACAGATTGTGAACCTCCTAAAGTCGGTGTACAGCGGAGGCCAGCCGCCAGGTATGGTGTGGCCACGCTTGGCCACGCAGGGTAGGCTCAGCTTCCGGGCCCTGGGTCCCCCGGCTTCAGGGGGAGCAGGCAGGACGCACACTAGCAAGTGTTTCCCACAGGCATTGGACATATGTTTTCTATCCTCACTGTGATTTTCTAGCTGCTCTTAGGGAAAAACAGGAGAATCTGGGCTATTATTTTTAGGAGCATTGGAGTATTTCATAAGATACATGATGAAGATTCCAATAACCTTAGCTAAGATCTTCAAAACTTTATCTCACTCTGTGCATAGCCACACAGTTCGGGCACCTTGCAGCTAAGACCGTCCTCCCCTTCCCGTCCCCACAGGGCCTGTGTCTGGAGCCCATGCCCTGTTACATGCCCTCCCTTGCCACACTCACTGGCAGCGCAGGCACTGGAGACGGGTGCTTTCCCCTCAGGAATGCGGCCTTAACATGCCCAACTATTCCTTCATACTGCCATGGGTTTCTGCTTCACCATATCTCTTTGGTGGTGAAAATGCAATGAAAGGAGTCATTTCACACACAGTTCTTTTGGTTAAAAACTGAGATTCTGGACTGTCCTCACTGATGACTGTCCCATGCAGGGGTCTTGGTCACTCAGGGCTCCTGACCCCACCCGGGGCTGGCAGCCAACATCTCACACCTCCCTGCTGTCCAGTGTCCTGGCTCTCCTACCTGAACCCGATGTTTCTCTCGAGTTCACCTTCAGGGGCTGACAATTCTGCCTCAGGATGTAAAAAATCTAAAATGGAAAAGCTTTCTGAATGGGAGTGGTTGTTACAAATTGCTGCCCCAAGCCACACATTTTGTGACTTGTATGGAAACGAGTGTGTTCTCTGGTAAATTTGGAGGTCAGGAATGGGAAACCAGCCTCCCTGGGCTGAATTCCAGGCCCAGGTTCCGTCCAAGGGCCTCGGAGGTTGTTTGTGTCCTCCTGGCCTCTGCCTTGTAGAGGCAGCCTGCGTTCCCTGGCCAGTGGCCTGGTTCCAGCCCCGGAAGCTGCGGCATGTGGTCTCCCTGCTCTCTAACTACTGCCCGTCCTTATGTCTCTCTCCCTGTGACCTCACTTGCTCATGTAAGGACACTTGGGATGATGGGCTGATTTGGGGCCCAGAATGATCTGTGCCCCTCCTGCTTGGGCTCCACCTGGGGTGTCCTTTTCCCAAGTGCAGGGGCTTGGGACGGGACCTCCCTGGGGGCCACTGTGCAGCCCGTCCTGTGAGTGGGAGGGTGTCATGCTCACAGTTCCCTTGAGTCACCTGGGGTCTCTGTGCCAGCTTCAGGTGAGAAGGACGTGGTGTTCCTGATTGATGGCTCTGAGGGCGTCCGCAGCGGCTTTGGGCTACTGAAGGACTTCATGGAGCGCCTAGTGCAGAGCCTGGATGTGGGCCCCGACCGTGTCCGGGTCGCCGTGGTGCAGTACAGCGACCGCACCCGGCCCGAGTTCTACCTGAACTCCTTCATGGACCAGCAGAGCGTTATCAGTGCCATCCGCAGGCTGAGTTTGCTGGGTGGGCCGACGCCCAATACTGGGGCCGCCCTGGACTTTGTCCTGAAGAACATCCTGACCAGCTCGGCGGGGAGCAGGATGGAGGACGGCGTCCCCCAGCTCCTGATCGTGCTCACGGCTGAGAGGTCTGGGGACGACGTGAGGGGCCCCTCGGCGGTGCTGAAGAGGGGCGGGGCAGTGCCCATGGGCATCGGTATCGGCAATGCCGACATCTCGGAGATGCAGACCATATCCTTCATCCCAGACTTTGCAGTGGCCATCCCCACCTTCCGGGAGCTGGGCACCGTGCAGCAGGTCATCTCCGAGAGGGTGACCCAGCTCAACCGCGAGGAGCTGAGCAGGCTGCAGCCCATTTTTCTGCCCCCACCAAGCCCAGGTAAGGGTGGCAGCCCTGACAGCTGGGAAGAAAGGCAGCTAAGTGATGTCCAACCTCAGTAAATGCCTGCCTAAGGCAAGGCTGGCTTTCCCTGGACACCCGGGCAGGGGCAGTGATGGTGTTGAGGGAGGCCAAGGTGAACCTGTTCCCTGGGGCCTGGTGGCTTGGAGAGGGGGAAAGGCTGTGGGAAGGAGCTGGAAGGGAGGCATCTGCAGAGGCGAGGCAGAGACCTGCGCCTGTCTCGGTGGCAGTCAGGGAGGGTGGGTGGCGGGCTGAGGCAGTTGCTTGTGTGTGTGTGTGTGTGTGTGTGTGTGCACCTCTTGTTGGTGTCAGGACAGAGCAGCAGGCCCTGTCGCTTCTGTAGGCTGTCTCAAGTGTAAGTGAGCCAATGCACTTGGGAAAGAATGGCACGGAGTGGAAGGGGCTGCTTTCCTTTTTTCAGTCCCTCTTGTCGATGTGCCAGGTTTCTCTCTGAGGCCGGAGGAGATGCAGCATTCGCAAGCCTATTTGACAGTGCAAGTCTTTATTGCAGTGCACCTTGAAGCCCCACATTTGAGGGCCCCCCCCTCAAATCCTCCTCCCTGTGTGCGGTTTTTTTTCTTTCCTTTTTAGTGCAGGGGACTGAACTCAGGGCCTTTGCAGCAAGTTACATATCCAGCTTTTTATTTATTTTTAATTTTTATTTTGAGAGTTTGTTTGGAGGTTGTAGCAGGGGAGCGCAGCTACTTGTATACCCTTGACTGAGGAACGGTCCTCTCTTGGGGGTGGCCGTCCTCTTTGACCGAATTTTTATTTTGAGATGGGGTCTTGCTAAACTGTTAAATTACCTATGTGGGGCTTGAGTGTGGGACTTCAGGCCTGCACCACCACGCCCAGCTACCTGCAGGTCCTTTGCCACACACACACACACACACACACACACACACACACCCCTGTTTCTGCAGCAGTCTGGTCTGGGCGGGCCCACTCACTCTCCTGCTTCTTGCACTCCCTTCCCTCCCAGCCCCATCCCTCATATCCCTCCTCCTTCCACTTGCTCTCTGAGGTAGCCTTGAGTCCCAACACAAGGAAACCAAAGAGGACTTCCTGCCGGAAGCCCTTGCTCGGAATGTGCTCTCAGTTCTGCTCTTCCCCGTCATTCTCTGCTGTGTGGGGTGGTTCTGAGCAACAAAAAGCCACTGCTTTTCTTCTCCTTCAGCGCTCCTCTCTGCAGCCGTCTGTGCTCTGTGCATTTCCTCTCCTCCTGGCCTCGCTGGGCCTACCCCATCCCGTCACCCTATCCCGTCACCACTGCTCCCTCCACTACAAGAGCACTTGTCCGTAGATCCCGTGCTTCTGGTGTCTGTGTCTGGGGTTCTCTCTTCCTTCACCTTTGCTGCCACTTCTCCTCTTGGGCCTGTGGCTGCCGAAAGGCCCACGACTCGCTCCTGGCACTGGTGTTTTGACCACAGTGGTGGATACTTGTACTGCTTGTGGGATGGGCAGTGATGGACCGAGAGACAGCTGATTGATGCCAAGAATGTGATGGCCCTAAAGGTGGAGCCCATGGTTATGTTTGGTTCACTGCAGGTGGTGCCAAGAGGGATGTGGTTTTCCTCATTGATGGGTCTCAGACCGCTGGCCCGGAGTTCCAGTACATCCGCAGCTTCATCGAACGGCTGGTGGACTACTTGGATGTGGGCTTTGACACCACGAGGGTGGCAGTCATCCAGTTCAGCGAGGACCCCAAGGTGGAGTTCCTGCTCAATGCCCACTCCAGCAAGGACGAGGTGCAGAACGCTGTGCGGCGGCTACGGCCCAAGGGCGGCACGCAGGTCAACGTGGGGAGCGCCCTGGACTATGTGTCCAGGAACATCTTCAAGAGGCCTCTGGGCAGCCGCATAGAAGAGGGCGTCCCCCAGTTCCTGGTGCTCATCTCCTCAGGGAAGTCTGCCGACGAGGTGGCTGATGCGGCAGTGGAGCTGAAGCAGTTTGGCGTGGCGCCTTTCACGGTGGGCAGGAATGCGGACCAGGAGGAACTGGTGAAGATCTCACTCAGCCCTGAGTACGTGTTCTCTGTCAGCACCTTCAGGGAGCTGCCCAGCCTGGAGCAGAAGCTGCTGACGCCCATCACCACCCTCACGGCCCAGCAGATCCAGCAAATCCTGGCCAGCACCCACTACCCTCCGCCAGGTATGGTCCTGGGGGCTGCATGGGGTGCTCCCTTCCAGGGGGTTTCCATCTAAACATTTACTACTGCTTGAGATAAATTAATCTTTCACAAAAGTGTTGCCCCCTCAGCTCCTCAGGGCATACTTGTGGTCGACCAGGTGGGCACATTCTGTGTCTCCATGCAGAATGGTGTGGGGGATGGGCATCTGAGAAAGGGGGTGTGGAAGGATCAACCCTAGGGTTGGAACTTGTGCCAGGTGGTCTGAGGTGCTCTGGCCTGGACTGAGTGGCCGAGAAGGGCAGATCACTCTGCGATCGGCTATCTTAGTCTTACCTGGAAGGACTGGAAGAGAAGCAGTGGTCTCCTTACCTTCTGCTTGCCAGAGTGGGAGTGGGGGGCCCCCCAAAGTGCGGACAAGGCTCCTCTAGTCTGTGTGCCATAGGACTTCAGAGCAGGCTTGTCCGTATGAGGCCCCATCCCGTGGGTACCCAGTGCCCTTGGCTGGGACCGATGCTCAGTGGCCTTGTGCTCAGCAGCAACCCCAGCTACGTGGGCTCTGCCCTAAGGCCACTTTTTTCTTTCTCAGCAAATGGTTGTCAGTTAGCCCAGGGACCCCACTATCAATGACCCAGCAAGGATAAGGCAAAGGTCAGGCTGATATGTGTTGACAGGCCACATATTAGTCAATCAAATGGTAACTGGAAACATTCAGAACTCTAACTAGTAGGAAAACATGGCTCATTTATCCTAAGATGCTCTGATTAACTATGTGGAGTATTCCCTAGCTCAAATGCTTGAAATCAGAAATGGATTTTTTTGAATTTGGGAATACTTGTGTATACATCCAGAGGTACTTTAGCTTTGACCCAAGTCTAAATATGAAATTCCTTGATGTTTCATATGTGCTTAATCACATAACCTGAAAGTCATTTTAGATAATTAAAAAAATAACTGCATGAAACAAAGTTGTATGATGTAGAATTTCCCTTTGGGTGGTATCATGTGATTTCCTGTCAATCCTGAAAAAGTTTGGATTGAAGCATTTCAGGTTTTGGGTATTTGGATTAGGGGAGGCTCAATCTATAGGTAAAACCCAACTCATGTCACTAAATAACAGGTGTGGACAGGACAAGAGCTTTTTTTTTTTTTGGTGGAACCAGGGATAGGACAGGAGCCTTGGCTCATCTCTCTTTCTGTCTCTGTCTCTGTCTCTCTCTGTCTCTATTTCTGTCTCTGCTACTCTCCTTGTCTCTCTCTGACTCTTTCTCTGTCTCTGTGTCAGATGTTGGCCCTGGTGGTCACAGTCTCTTCTGTAATCCAGAATTACTTTCTAAGTGCTGCTTACATTTTCTAAAATTGGTATTAACACAGACCACAAAGCTAAAATTAAAACACAGTCAAATCAGAGGCAGAAAGTTTTGGAAAACTTAAAATATTTTAAGAAATGGAAATTGCTTTGACTAAAAAAGAAGACCCACTTTTTGAATGATTCATCTGACGAAGCCCAGGGCACGGGCAGTATGTCTGCCCTCGGGTACAGTTTTAACGTTGGCTCATGTGGTGCTGCACATGACGCAGAGCTTCAGAGCTGGGCAGAAGCCAGTGGGCCCCGGCTGGCTCTACACTGCTCTGCCTTTTCCTTGCAGAGAGTGACGCAGCTGACATCGTCTTCCTCATTGACACCTCTGATGGAGTCCGGAGTGATGGGCTTGCACACATCCGGGACTTTGTGAGCAGGATTGTTCAAAGGCTCAACATTGGCCCCAACAAAGTAAGGATCGGCCTTGTGCAGTTCAGCAACGAGGTTTTCCCTGAGTTCCTCCTGAAGACCCACAGGTCCCAGGCTGCTGTGCTGGGCGCTATCCGGCGTCTGAGGTTCCAGGGTGGGGCTCCACTGAACGTAGGCAAAGCTCTGGAGTACGTGGCAAAACAACTCTTTGTTAAGTCTGCTGGGAGCCGGATAGAAGACGGGGTGCCTCAACACCTGGTCCTACTTCTGGGTGGAAAATCCCAGGATGATGTTTCCAATTTCGCCCGGATCATAAGTTCCTCAGGGATTGCGAGCTTAGGAATTGGAAGCCGGAACGTCGACCGAACCGAGCTGCAGACCATCGCCAGTGACCCTCGGCTGGTCTTCACCGTGCGAGAGTTCCGAGAGCTTCCCAATATCGAAGAGAAAGTCATAGGCTCCTTTGGGTCCTCTGGGGCCACCCCAGCACCCCCAGTATTCACACCTCCTCCCTCGAGGCCAGGTATGAGCTGTGCGGTCCTGATTACACAGTGGGTGACCAAAGGCCTACATTAATGTAACATCATCCTGCCTAATAGTTTCCTTGGAGTTGTTCCTATAGATAATGCTGGAAATTAAATATTGGAAAAGTCTTTCCATTGACATTGTAAGGTGAAACCTGTCCCCAAAGCACCTGGCTCTGGGTCTTCCAGTGTTCTCACAGTTAAGTGTGGCTCAGCTAAAGGTTGTTGGAATGGGGTGGCATCTGTGAGCTCAGTGGCCCCCACCCTGCGGCACATGGCAGGTGCTTACTAGGGCCCGGCAAGCCTCCTCCCTTGGACCAGGCCGATCCTGAGTCACGCACCTGCAGCAGCTTCTTCCCCATACTCCTGGCTGCCACCTGTGGAGCCCCTGGGAGCAGGTCAGAGGCTACTACCACCCACAACTCTCCTCATCTCCATTGAGTGGGAGTTGTTACCCAGGCTACCTGAGTGATGCCTGTTGCCTCTCTCTGCCCCCTCTGGGCTGGGGCATGTCCCCCATCTCTCACCTGGCCCTTGTTTGTCCATCTCATTTCAGTCTCTGTTGGTGGACTGGAGCCAAGGCATTCCCACCTGCCGCTCATTTCAGCAGGCTCCGGGGACGCTTTCACAGCCTTCCAGATGCCTCTGGGGTCTGCTTCCCGGGCCTGGCCTGTCCCTCCTGGTTCTTAGCACCTCCCCACTCCTGCCAGACACTGTCTTTCACTTTTGATCAGAAAGAATTTTGTAGCACACCTGAGGTCACACTGCCCTGTGCGAGGACAGCCGGGGCCCCGTCTCACTGAGTCCTGAGTCTTTGGATAACTGATCCTTTACCTTCCTGTTTCCAGCGTAATGTGCATGGTTCAGGGCTGGCGCTAGAGAGGCATGGGATGGAATGAAGGTTTTCGCCATGAATGAGTTACCAGGAATGTTGTCTTAACGTACGCATAGTGTGTTCATTTCGGTGTGGAGGCCCTCTCTCCTCATCCCCATTGTGATCCCTTGTAGAGAAGAAGAAAGCGGATATCGTATTCCTGCTAGACGGTTCCATCAATTTCAGGAGGGACAATTTCCAGGAAGTGCTCCGTTTTGTGTCTGAAATCGTGGACACGGTTTATGAAGATGGCGACTCCATCCAGGTGGGGCTGGTCCAGTACAACTCTGACCCCACTGACGAATTCTTCCTGAAGGACTTTTCCTCCAAGAGGCAGATCATCGACGCCATCAACAGAGTGGTCTACAAGGGGGGCCGGCACGCCAACACCAGGGTGGGCCTCCAGCACCTGCAGCTTGCTCACTTCGTGCCTGAGGCGGGCAGCCGGCTGGAGCAGAGGGTCCCCCAGATCGCCTTCGTGATCACCGGAGGAAAGTCGGTGGAGGACGCCCAGGATGTGAGCCTGGCACTCACCCAGAGAGGCGTCAAAGTGTTCGCAGTGGGGGTGCGGAACATCGACTCCGAGGAGGTCGGGAAGATTGCGTCCAACAGCGCCACGGCCTTCCGTGTGGGGACCGTGCAGGAGCTGTCGGAACTGAGTGAGCAGGTTCTGGAGACGCTGCACGATGCCATGCACGAGACCCTGTGTCCCGGAGTGTCCGACGTGGCCAAAGGTAACTCCTCTGTCTTCCCGTTCTCGTCCTTTCCCGGTGATGTTTTTGGGGTTCAGCCACCTGACTCCCCAGTGCGGGCCTGCAGCTTTCTTAGGCACTTGGTTGCTGTGAGCGTGGCATCTGTTCACATGTGCCCGGCCTTGGGGCTCACCTAACGCTGCTTTTGCAGGACAGGAGCAGGAGTCCTGCTTTGCTCTTACAAGATTTATTCTTCAAGTAAATTGATTAATCCTTGTTTTTGGCTATAGTTTTATTGGGTTAGTTTTTGACATAGAAATATTTGTTTTCTAAAATGCTTTTATTTTTATTTTTTGTATGTTAGTAGGTTTTAAAATGCTTTTAATTCAAATCAGCCACTAGGTATAGGGAAGCACACCCCAGCTGTATGGTATTACGCCGAAGTTGATAGACGCCACCAAAGTAGCAAACTGTTGAGGCGTGATCAAAATATCTGATAAATGTTTAAATTAAAAAAGTTATTCCAGTGAGCAGCACACTGCCACGAATCACCCTCCGCCACCCCACCACACACACTTGATTCAAGCGCACCGGTCTCCCCATTCTCGCCGCCTTCTGGAGCAGCTCAGGCATCTCTTTCATGTCTTTGTGAGCTGTGATGACGAGGGCTGAATGCTGGCCACTGGGCCACGTGGCAGGAGTGCAGGCTTGTGGGGCAGGACATGGTCCTCCTCCACCGTGTGCCCAGATCCGGCACCTGCAACTTCTGGCCCCCCTGGAGTCACGAGACCGTGAGAGACCTCCATTTTCAGTCTATTCCAGACATGGAGGCAGCCTCAACTACACAATAGGACTCCCTGGAAAGCGGCGAGAGTGGGGGCATCGCTGTGTTTGAAGCAAAGCGGGCTATTTTGAGGATGGTTATGGCAATGTCTCACTTACTATAATTAAACATTATAGTTAAACATTTGCTGTGCTTTTTGACCACAGCTTGTGTACTGAAATAGGCCTCAAGTTTGCTTCCTAGCAATGCTTGTGTTTATCTGGTGAGAAAGGTGGGCGTAGCCAGCACACAGAGGGTGCACAGGGAGGGTCTGGCCTGGTCCTGAGCACTGGGTCCTGGCCCGCATCTGGCTGCCCCTGTCACTGTGCGCCTAGAGTTCTTCTCAGCGGCCTCACCTTAGTGCTCCCGGCCTGCATTTCTCCTCTCCAGCCTGTAATCTGGATGTGATCCTGGGATTTGATGGGTCCAGAGATCAGAACATCTTCGTGGCCCAGAAGGGCTTTGAGTCCAAGGTGGATGCCATCCTGAGTAGGATCAGCCAGATGCAGGGCATCAGCTGCAGCGGCGGCCAGATGCCCACCGTGCGCGTGTCCGTGGTAGCCAATGCGCCCTCCGGGCCGGTGGAAGCCTTTGACTTCGCTGAGTATGACCCAGAGCAGTTCGAGAAATTCCGCAGCATGCGCAGCCAGCACCCCTACGTCCTCACGGCCGACACGCTGAGGCTGTACCAGAACAAGTTCAGGCAGTCCTTGCCAGACAGTGTGAAGGTGAGCATCTGCAGGGTCGCAGTTTCTCTGAGTGGCAGCTTGTCCCCAGTGTCTGGGAGCCCTGCCCGAGTCCTGCCTGTAGACACCCACACAGGCAGGACCGGGCTGCCAGCGTCCATGTGGAAGTCCTCGCTTCCCAGCTGACCCTGATTGTGTGGACTAGCTATTCTGCTTGCTGGCTTTGCTTGAGCTCTGAGACGTCCTGGACATCAGCACAGAAGCTGGCACGTGTGATTTAGGGTGAACTCAGGCTCAGAGATAGGTCTGCCCAGCAGAGAGGTTTCAATCTGCTTCTGTTTCTGTCTCACCCTCTCTGTTCACACATGCACATGCTGAATCAGCTTGCTAGAGCTGTGGCTCACGGGTGTCTCAGACGGGAGTTCAGATATCGATCTCTTCACAGTGCAGAGGCTGGAGATCTGTGGTCAGGGAGAAACAGGGCTGGTTGCCCTGAGCCTGTCTCCTTGCCTTGCAAATGGCCATCCTTCCCCTGTGTCCTCACGTGGTCCCCTCCTCCCCTGCATGTGCATGTGTGTCCTGATGGCCTCTTCTTATAAACACAGCTGTCATACTGGAGTAGGAGGCCCCCAGTGACCTCATTTACCTTAGTCACCTTTAAAAGTCTTCTCTCCAAGTACAGTCCAATTCTGAGATTAGGACTTGGTTTGGAGGGGTGTGACCATGGTCCAAGGCAGACATAGCACACCATGCCATGCCACACCATGCCACGCCACACTATGCCACACCACACCACACCACACCACACCATGCTATACCATGTCACACCACACCACACCATACCACACCACACCACTCATACATACCATATTTATAGAAATCACATCTCATAAATATGAGAATGAGGTAAACTGTTTTCATTCATTTATTCTCATTGATGCTTATGATTTAAAAAAAATAAATCAAACCCCAGGCCCACCCTTTGATTTATGCCTCATTTATTGTACAACAACCTTGATCCTGGCCTTCAGTTTCTCAGCCATAGACAAGGAATCTGAACTCCGCGTACTCCCTTGGTTCCCTACTGATATCTGTGCTCTTGCCTCCTGGTCTGGGCTGGACCTCACCCCTCTCTGGTTCACAGGTGGTCATTCATTTTACCGATGGTGCGGATGGAGACCTGCGAGAATTACACAGTGCTTCAGACATGCTCCGAGAGGAAGGTAGGCCTGCAGGCTCCCAGGTACAGGGAGCTGGCCCAGGTGAGGTGGCCTGGCTGCCCTGCAGAAACCACTCTGTTGCAGAGTCCTGGGTGGGGTGGGCTTCTGCTGGAGAATGCTGTCTCCAGCTGCCTGGGCTCTGACGCTTGCCTGGGGCTCTGGCATGTAGATGAGACAGCCCTGGAGAAGGTGTGAGGGTTCAGAGACCCACAAGATGGTGGGGCTTCGAGAATGCCTGATGCTTGCTTTAATCACCTCTCACTCTGGGGACAGAATCCCTGACACTGACAACTAACGAGGAGAGGAGAGGTTTGTTTGGGCTCCTGGTTTGTGGAGGTTTAGTCCATAGTCAGCTGGTTCAAGGCGGAGGGCTTGGGAGAAGGGAGCTGAGGAGAGTTCCTCTTGTTGTGGTATCGGTAAGCAGAGCTGACAGGCGTGGGGCAGGGAGGCAAGTGCTCCCAGGCCAGGCCCCAATGGCCGCCTCCCCCGCCAGGCTCTGCCTTCCGGCATCATATCAGTGGACTCATCCGCCTATGAGTATCGCAGCTGTGATGAGGTCACCTCCCAAACCCCACCTCTGCGTGCACGAGGTTTTGGGGGCCATCTAGATAAGAGTCGCAGTAATGTTCTTGCAAAAGAACCCAAGGGCTAATTTGTTTAGCTCCATCTGATAAACCAGAAAGCCCTGTCTCAGCGGAAGACACTACTGCATTTTCAGTGGGCCGTTAGTGCAGCTCAGCACACCACCACGTTTCAACCCCCGTGAGCATAAATAATATGAACAAGCAGACTGGCCAAATGCAAGGCGGCAGAGAGGCACCTCAGGAGATGCTCACCTGCTTGGAATTTGGAAGCGCTGAAGTGATGCCCACCGCAGAGCCCTTGGAGGAATTCGCACATCCCAGTTTATCACAAGATCACCTTATCCATTTGCTCATTTCCCAAGCCGTGGCAGTGCAGTTTTGCGTTCCTGCTTTTGGAGGAACCAGTGTGCCAGCTCTTCCCACAGCACGCCCAGTAACATTGGGACAGAGGCTGAGAACTTAGCTTGGCTAGGTTTCCTGGGGGCTGCTTCCTGGGCTTATCACAGCGCATTTTGAGGCATATTGGACAGGACTACCCAGCGGAGCCCAAGGTCTCAGGATTCCTTTCCTCAGCCATTTGATCACACATGTTTAAGTTAAAGCCAAATTTTGTGCTGAAATTGATTTTGTAAGAAAGGCAAAATGATGTCCCAGCTCTGGAGCTTGCAGGTGAGTCTCATGAAGTGTGTCTTTCTCTGCAGGTGTCCATGCACTGATCCTGGTGGGCCTGGAGCGTGTGGCCAACCTGGAGCAGCTGACACAGCTGGAGTTCGGGCGAGGCTTCACTTACGACAGGCCCCTTCGGCTCAACCTGCTGGACCTGGATTACGAGTTGGCCGAGCAGCTGGTGTGTTGCTTTACACAGACTGAATTAGTGGGGGCAACACTGGGTCTCTGGAGGTGATGAAGCCAGTCATGTCCTGGCTGTGGAGAAGGGGTGTCTGGGCTTTAGCGAAATGCACCAAATTCTCTTGGGATCTGCCTTCCTGGCCCAACAGGTGTGAGTCTGCTGGGCGCTAGGCTTGTAGGTGTGCAGATGTCCTAGCCTTCGGATTGCCTCTGTTCCCATCAGCAGGGGCCTCTCTCAGTGTCTTTTCATTCCTAAGATTGCTGGGGATGCCAGACTTTGTGAGGGGTCCTCCTCAGACAGGAGACTGCCTAGTGGGTCTGAAAGTGCAAGAGAAGGAGGACCACGGCCACTTCCAGTGGAGAAGCGCTCTCACTGCTGCCCTTCTAGTTTGCTTTGGCAGACATGGGGAGACCTTCCTGGCTTCCCAAGCCTCAGCCTGCTGGCAGGAGGGGTTCTGCCTGGGCTTGGGATCGGGGACGGAGGTGAGGGCTGGGGTGAACACGGAGGCTGCTGGGTGGTGGCATTGGTGGAGCATGGCTACATCTACCAGACGGACGGAACACGTCCTTCCTTCCCTCCCACTTCCTTCCAGGGCTAGAATTAGGGTTTTCATATTGGAGTGAAGGAGGCTGAGTCAGTTGATCAGTTTGGGACATGGGAGAAATCGAGAGCTCTCAGAAACTCACTGCAAGAAAGCCCTAGTGGTGTCCTTAAGGTGGGAGATGGAAGTGTATTTGGGGTGTGCACTTCGCCTGGTAAGGGCAGGAGAATTGTGTCTGGGGTGTCAGAGGGGCTAGCAAGTTGTGGTGCTACTGGCTCAGCAGCCAGGCCACCCATGCCTGCTCCTCGTGGGGCTACCCTAGGGCCTCCTCCCGGCTGGGGCTGCTTCTGAGCCTCAGAGCCCAACTCCCAGGGCGGCCTGCGTTGGGCACTGTTCAGAAAGATTGTGAGTCCTGGCCAGCTCTGATTTGTTCATTAGGTCTTGCAGTTGGAGTTGAGGCACAGGAAGTGGTGTTTACCACTTGAGTATGTATGTCAGAAATGTCTCTGAAGAAGCCCTGGCCTAGAGGGGTGTGGTGAATGAGGGTCACGGTACTTTGGTTCCTCTTCTCCTTCTCAGTAGAATGGTCTCCACCCCTGGCCCAGTGCCCCGAGCTCGACCCTCGGCCTGGGCCAGCCTTGGGAGGTGCTGTCCTGATGACCCCCCCACCCAACGAAGCCCTGCTGAGCGGATGAGGACCTCCAGCAGCACACTGATGGGTCCTGGTGGGCATTTCTTGGCCTTTCAACTTACTGTGTTTTGCCGTCCTCGTAGGGCAATATTGCTGAGAAAGCCTGCTGTGGGGTTCCATGCAAATGCTCTGGAGAAAGAGGAGACCGAGGGCCCATCGGCAGCATTGGGCCAAAGGTATGGTGCTTGTGCCCCTTCCCCAGTGGGGGTTAGCGTGAAGGGCAGCGTTGCTTTCACTGGGTCCTTTCTCCAGCTTTGGAGCCGGGAAGTGGGACAGACGAACCTTCCTGCCTGGAGAGCAGGAGGTCCAAGGTGTGGCCCATAGGCCATGTTGCCCAGAACATGTCCCCATCCCAGACATAACTTGTCCTCAGATGTAGAATGTCCCCTGGACGTGGTGCAGGGAGTTCTGAGTGTCTGTCACATTGTCCTCTCCATCAGGTGAAGGCCTGCTCTTTAGCAGACAGGTGCTTGCTGAAATCGGGCCTCGCTGGCTGGTGGCCTCACAGCGCTGTGGGGCCCACTGTGTGCTGCTGGATGGGGAGTGGCAGCGTCTCCCAGCACAGCGGGGCCAGAGAGCCCTCATCACAAGAATGACCACACTGAAAAGTGGATGGGTCACGGGGCCACAGGGCCACGGGCCACAGGAGCTGTGCTGTCAGCTCAGCTCCACCCAAGGAAGGGGACAGCAGAGATGCTCTGTGAAGGCAGAGGGGCCTGCGGGGTCTCATGGGGGCCCCTGTGTGCTTTGTTTCAGGGCATCTCAGGGGAAGACGGCTACCGAGGTTATCCTGGTGACGAGGGTGGACCTGTGAGTACAGGGGCCCTGGCCCTCCCTGTTCCAAAATCTCTTGTCCTGCCCAGTCCACATGGGGATGGTAGTGGAGCTTGTGGTGACAGCTTTCCTTTAGAGAGAAAAGTGAACTGGGAACTCCCAAAGCAACTTGCCTTAGATGGTGACACTTTGGGAAATAGGGCAACCTGAGGGTCCTGTGTGGGTCTGAGGAGTGCGTTCCTTGGTCCTCAGGGAAGATTAAATGTGTTCTACTCATTGAGGGTGTGGGTCACCCACACTGGGGATGGCTCCCCAAGGGGTGTGGTCCCGTCTGTGTCATATCCACAGGGCCCTGTGGAGGTCAGGAAGGGCCCAGAGGCAGGACTTATGGGAGCAGGACCGGGACAGTTGTGGGCCTGAGAGGCTGAGAGGCCCTAGAACAGGGTCCAGCCTTGGAAGGGGACGAAGATGTCCTGGGGGAGCCCCTGAGGTCTCCAGGCCGAGTCAGGATGTGGCTGTCAGGATGTGTGTCAGGGCTAGCCCAGCCCACTGGGCAGCTGGGAGCCAAGACCACATAGAGCAGTGGTCAGACCAACAGACCCTCATCGAGATCCAGCAGGCCTGCACCACACACCCAGGGATCACCTGTCCTAGGTGGCCCTCTAGAGCCCACTGTCCTCAGGAAGCCTGGTCCTTGCCAGGCTCAAAGCTGGGGTCCTGAGGGCCCAGGCTCAGGCTCGGAGAGCTCCAGCTGCCACTACCTCTGTTTCTCCACAGGGCGAGAGAGGTCCACCTGGTGTGAATGGCACTCAAGGCTTCCAGGGCTGCCCTGGCCAGAGAGGAGTGAAGGTACAGTGCGGTGGGGTGTGGGGTGACCCTAAGGAGGGCACTGGTTGAGGGTCAGGCAGTGTGACTGGGGGCTTCCAGGGAGGTATGGCAGCCAGGAGATAACCTGAGGCTGCAGGGGACTGGGCCCAGGTGCCTGTGGGCCTGGCCCTGGGAGGAGGAGAGGGAGAGGCAAGGGTAGTGTGGGTTCCTGGACAGGTGGACTTTCTGCTTTGTTTGCTAAGTTAGAGGTGGTGCTGAAGTGGGGGGCTGTCACCCCACGAAGCTGTAAAGTGGCCTTCACTTGAGCCCCTTTGCCTGGCTATTGGGGTCATCCATCGCTGCTGCTCAAAGAGCAGGATTTTAGGCACTAGGGCATTCAGATGGGGAAGCCCTGGGCTGCCCCTGCCCTGAGGGTCCAGCTGTGCAGGAAAAACTAACATTCCCCTGTCTTCTTTCTTTCAGGGCTCTCGCGGGTTCCCAGGAGAGAAGGTACTCAAGCTCTTTTTTTTTCCAGATATTTTATTGAAAAACAAATATCAATGAGACAGTTTCAAAACTGATTAATAGGACAGTTTCAGTAATTAATGCATTGTATCAAGGTCAGTTTGATTTTTTAAGTTGAATGCTGCTCCAGCATTTCTGTTTCCTTCTGTCTGTGGAGGGGCCAGGGAGATGGCTCAGTAGAATAAGTGCTTCCCTGGCAAGCACAATGGCCTGAGTTCAATCCCTGGTTCCGAAAAAAAAAAAAAAAAAAAAAATCCTTCTGTTCGTGGAGGACTCTGTGCCCTCCCTCAGCACCTGCCTTCTTCCCTCCAGGGTGAGCTCGGAGAGATCGGGCTGGACGGGCTGGACGGCGAGGACGTGAGTGGTGTTACTTTCTTTGTCCCAACCTCTTCTGGTCCCAAAGATGTCAGGAGCTGCTTTATGCCTGACCACTTCTCATTGTCTTTGGCAGGGAGACAAGGGGTTGCCCGGTTCTTCTGGAGAGAAGGGAAGCCCTGGACGAAGGGTAGGTGTCTCCCCCATGGCGCCTTTCTAGGGGTGCTTGTTTCCCTCACATGTGCGGTTCCGTGCACTTCCTCCAGGCAGGCCTCCCTGACTGCCCCACCAGTGCTGTGGTGATGTGCCTGGGTCCCTTGCCAGCTCCAACACCTGTCTTTGTCTTTCTGCTTTGTAGAGCATGTCCCACAGGGTGGGGCTGAGTTTGTTTTGTTCTAAATAAATCCCGGTGTCTGCCAGGCACACAATGGACCCCCACTAAACATTTGTGAGTTCAGTGAGCAAATCGAAATAGTTGGAAGTGACTCTCCCTGTAGCAAAGGAGGGAAGGAGCAGAGCTGCTGTATTTCTGACTGTAGAGCCAGAGTGATTTTTCAAGGCAAAACAGCCCTTTGTTGACCCAGCTTGCTGATCTGATGTAGAACACGAGGACTAGCGTTGACAAAGTGATGTTGTGTGGGGATCCAGGTTGAATAAAGGATCTCAGCTGCTCTTGGCAGGAAAAGTAACAGGGCCTGGGACACTGCTTTGCTGTGGTAGCTGCCACCATCTGCGTTCGGTCGAGCCTTAGGTAGGCACAATAAATGTAACCTAGTTTTTAACTTTCCTGTGCCTGTTTTATTTAGGGTGACAAAGGACCTAAGGGAGACAAGGGAGAGAGAGGAGACGTGGGCATCCGAGGTGACCCGGTAAGGCTGATGTCCTGGAGCTTACGGAGAGGTCGTGAGAGGCTGACACTAAAGCAAACATCTCCTTCTGGAGAGTGCTCTAGCGTGTGTTCACGGAATACACAGCTGTCCTTTTCACAGTCTTGGCTCACTGGAGGTGGGCTTGTTCTCTAGCTCCACAGGTCAGCGCTTGCAAATCGAGTTACAGAAAAACCAGAGTTGTTTCCCACAGTGGCTTCTTGGGACCCTTCCCATGGGCTTCTGGGAGAGAGAACCATTTGTGACTTGGCCCCTCTTAAATGACTGTAAAAGCTGGTGGTGGGGGCACACAGCTGGCATCCCAGCACTCTGGAGGCTGTGGCTGAGGGGTGAGGGGTCCCCCAGAGTTCTAGGCCAGCCTGGGTTACGGTGAGACCCTGTCTGAAAGATCGATTGGTTAACTAGTGGCTCAGGAGGGGTCTCTGGAGGGTGGCTGGAGGCGCTATGCTGTGGTGGCTCTGTGGCCCCCACCCGAGAGCAGGGCTCTTCCTGCTACAAGTGGCTCCTTCCCTGGCATGTTGTTTGCAGGGTGACTCAGGACGGGATAGTCAGCAGAGGGGACCCAAAGGAGAGACCGGTGACATCGGCCCCATGGTATGGCGCTCATGGTCACGGATGCCCTGTGCTGAGGGCTAGGGCTCAGGGCAGCAGGAGCCCCCAGGGGCCAGGGAGGTGGCAGGGGTGTGGGGAAGGGCTGGGGCCTGGGGCTCCCACACCGGAAGTGCTCATCACAGGAGCCCCGGAGGTGGGAATGCACGGGGTCCTCGCCCCCCAAGTGGGTGGCGCTCCCCGGGGATCTGGGAACTCACCCTCTCCCCACAGCGCCCCAGCTGAGTTTTTCCACCCCACAGGGTCTCCCTGGGAGAGATGGCGTGTCCGGAAGTCCTGGAGAGCCTGGGAGGAACGTGAGTGTCTAGGGTGTGCAGGCCATAACAAGACCTTACCAGCGCACGGTGGGCTCCTCTGGCTGGGGTGGTTTAAGCTGCGCCATAGCTCCGCTGAGTCATTCACAGTGAACAGTCTTTGTTGTGCCTTGGCGCGCCTAGGGGCCTGGAACTCCAGGTCGGCACTCTGTCACCAAGTAACCTGTGTGGCCAGTGGTCCTGGAAGCTTTCAGGGCCCAGAGCCCAGTGCCGGCCCCACCGAGCGCCCTCGACCTTTGTCATCCCAGGGCAGAGGCTGAAGGGAGAGCCGTGGCCCTAACACTTGTTGCCTATAGACTTTTTTCACTTGTAACTTACTCTGCACTCTCTCTGTCCTCCCTCCCCATCTTGTATCCTTTTCCTATAAAAACAACATATGAAGCAGGCACTTCGGAAAATAGCTTTGTGCTTTCAAGTGGTCGGCCAGGTTTTACCCCACTAATTATTATAAATATTAAAGCAGAAGCGCTGAAGCTGGGGTTAGTGCGAGGGCCAGGAAGGCGAAAGGGCTGGGCATTTGCTGTTTTTATAGAAGTCTGGCATGGTCCCTCCATCTGCACGTTTCTTGTTCGGTCTTAGTTGAAGGCTGAGACTTTGGTCACAGTTTCCAGAATGTGCACACAGAATACGCTGGCCAGGAGTCTTGGTGGAGGACCCCAAAGCCACAGCGCTGGGGTGGCTTTCATGAAACCACTTCAAGGCTTGCAGGACCCAGGGCACAGGACATAGGACCCTTTTTCCTGGGTGTGGTGGTCCCTACCTCAGGCAGGTTGTAGTTCCAGGGGGCGCTCAGGCAGGGGTGGGTACCTGGGCAGGGCTCCCCTCAGAAAGGAAGGCTGCCCATGGTCTGGGCTGCTGCGAAGCCGTCCCAGCTGTTTCCTGCCGGGTAGGACATTTCAGGTTCTCACAACTGAGGACCAGAGGAGCCATGAGGCAGGGGCTTCCCAGCAGGGGACTCCCCAGTGACTGAATGGGCAGGGGCTTCACCAAGCTCCTAGAATTCATAAGCAAACCTGAGACCTTTGAGCAGCATTGCTGAGTGGTGCTGTTGAGCCTGGCAATGGATAGGAAGCAAGGAAATGCTCATCCATCCGTGGCGGTGGTCCTGGGCCATCGCTGCTTGGGGCAGAGCCTGGCCAAGCAGACTCTGCACACGGCAACAAGTACAGCAGCAATGATTTTGTTGGTTTCGCCCCGCAGAAGATGGAATGGGTTTAAATCTGGCTGCAGCCCAGGGCTCTCCTGGCCTTCATCCAGAGGTTCACCCAGCGGGAAAATGGGACACAGAGTCAATTTGCGGCAGGCTGAGGACTGCCTGAGAGATCTCCTGTCCTTTCCCTGGGGAACTTGCTGTGTACTAAAGCCAGGGAGTGGTGGCCCCGTCTCCTGATGGTGTTACCCCTTTTGAGTCTCCACAGGCAGCCTTTGGCCTGGACAATGGGTCACTGTACGCCAGGGGAATCTGATCACACTCTGGGGTGTCGTCTTTGGGAGGGTCTGGTCCTGGTGTGGCTCCATGCAGAGGGGGCCCTGTGCAGTACCAGCACCCCAGGCGCCGGTACACACCCCCTTAGCTTACAAAGAGCATGGGCCTAGGCCGCCACGCCCAGCAGGATGAGCGATGGGCGGGAGGTCACAGTCACCAACTGGGCAGCCCACTGTGGGAGCTGAGGTTCCCTCTGGAGCTTGAGGAACACATGCCAAGTGAGCGTGGAACCCAGGATCAGCGCACGGGCACCGAGGTCACGCCTGTGCTTCTGGGGTGCTCTGTGCGGAGCATGTGGTACTTGGCCAGGTGGTCCGGGGATTTGGGATCCTTTCCATCCTCGTGAGTGGGTTTCATCCATCTCGCTGCAGTGAGGGACACAGAAGGAAAGAGGCAGGCTGGCCCTCTGGGCCACGGACCTCACTGGGCATTGGCCAGGATCGTGCAGCCAGGAGTCGTTGTTTGGCTTGGCAGGTTTGCAGCGATTCTCGAAACTTCCATTTTAGTCATTAGCAGGAACATCGTGGAAGCAAAACTTCTCAGAGCTGAGGGCTGAGGAAGGGCGGGTGACGCGGCCAGGCCCTCGGCTGCCTGGTCATGGTGACTGATTCCCAGCAGTGATGGTGAAAGTGTCCTCCAGTCAGTCTGGGAGAGCCCAGGCTCTGTGCCAGCATCCCATGTACCTCACCATTTGTGTGACTTTTTCCACAGGGCGGCTTTGGCCGAAGGGGACCCATGGGAGCTAAGGTGAGCCCCCAGGGCTTGGGACAGTGTCTTGAACTTCTACAAGGTCTTAAGAAGTAACAGTGGGTGGAAGGAAGGGGAGGCCCCCAGCAGGTGGTGTCCAGGTGCCCTTTACTGTGAGGCGTCCACTTAGCCGGACCCCTGGCTAGGGCAGGGCAGACTGCAGTGGACAGCAGCGTTTCACAGAGCCATCCTGGGAGCAGGTGAGGTGGGGCAAGAACTGGCCCCCTGCAGGTCCTGCCTCATGCTGGGGTCTCTGTGCTCTTCACCTGTGTCAGCCCAAGTGGCTCCCTGGGCCAGAACCAAGTGTGGGATGCAGAGGTGGGACTGCTCCTCAACACCCTCACCCTTCCTGCATCTCCTCTTGTCTCCAGGGAAACAGGGGCGGTGCTGGCCAACCGGGCTTCCCAGGAGAGCAGGGCACCAGAGGCGCACAGGTCAGTCTCCCCCAGTCTCCCCCGTGATTGCGTGCCTTGGGGTGCTTCCCAAGACTTCCTGACCATTGTTTTCAGTTGAGAGACTCTGCTGTAACATGAGACTGTCCTCAATCAGAACTTCGGTCCTCCTGCTGACGGAGTCATATTCCACTGTGTGGGCACAGCACAGCCCATCCAGTCCCTGGACCCTGGGCTTCGCAGTGGTCTCCCCCTGTTGGTTACTGAGAAGAGAGGTCCCTGGGCCTCCTTGCAGCCAGATGGCTCTGTGGCACTCACCCTGTGATCTCTCACTTTGTAGGGCCCCCCAGGCCCCACTGGACCCCCAGGCCTGAGTGGGGAGCAAGGCATCCCTGGATCTCGGGTAAGTTCCCTGCTGCCAGCCCACCATTAGCTGAGCACACAGTGAGGAACCCAGCAGGCTGAGACTCTCGGGGCAATGGTGGTGTAGATGTACCACCCCTCAGGCCCTCCCTCTGGCGACCCCAAGGCAGTAAGAGAGCCCACTTCTGGTGCTCTGGTGGCATCTAAGTCCCAGTGCTGCTCCTCCCAAGAGCAGCCTGCTCCTGGTGTCTGCACAGGAAGCAGTAGGCTCGGCCGGAAGCTTCAGGGTGGGGTGGACCTGCGTGACACCTAGTTAGAGCTACTGGGACTCCGAGGTTGTGCAGAGCCTCCTGTCGGTCCCTTAGAGACAGCCCTGCTGCACATGTTATGGGCATAAGGATGGCCAGTAAGTTGTTGACCAGCTGGCCTGGTGCTACATGAATGCGCCGCAGCATGCAGGACCTTTAGGAAGCTGCTTGTGTAGAATGCCCCTTCTACGGCTTGACAGAGTTTTTGCAGTGTTTTTTTTTTTTTTTTTAACATTCGACTTTTAGTTCACCAGAAATTTAGGGTGACCTGGGTACAAAGCTATTGTGGGAGTTACCCCAGAGCTCTGGAAGCATTCATTTACTGTGCTTTGCCACTGCCCATTCAGGGCCTCTCTGGGCTATGCCGGCTGTGCCATGTGACAAGTCATCTATGCATTTTCCCAACAAGCGCTCTGGACCTCAGCACACTTGCTGTTCACCAGGGCATGTGGAACAGGAGTCCAGGGACTGTTGGCTCGCAGGAACCTTGCATGTGACCCTGGCGCCTGCAGCAGGCCTGCCCGCACATGTGCGAATGGGCATTTGTGCTGCATCTAGGTTTGAGTCTGCAGTGCTGAGCACTGGGCCTGCACCTGGGAGTTCAGCAGCATGGGTCGCTGCCCCGGGACTTGGGCCCTGTGCAGAGCTGAGCTGGGGGCATCTGGATGCCCTGTGGTTGGGTAGATGAGCTCCCCGTGACCCCGCTGCTCTCCTGTGCTGCAGGGAGGCGGAGGAACTGGTGGGGCTCCTGGAGATCGCGGCAGAATTGGCCCCTTGGGAAGGAAGGTTTGTCTGGATGGGGCAGAGCTCCTGGGAGCACGGGTGCTGACTGGCTGCTGTGTCTCTGACTCCTGGTTTGCCGCTGCGCCCATCAGCTTGTCTGAATACCCCGTGTCTGTGCTGCTTCGGCTGCCTAGGGCCTACACCCTGCCAGGGGGTGGTGGGTGGGCTGGCTCTCTCCCTTCTGACCCCACCACCGGGTGGGTTGCCCTATTGCCCCAGCCTTGGCATGGCCGCACACAGGCTGGGCAGTGCCTTGTGCATTGCAGTGTCATGTGGGACACTGTGGTGCTCAGGGAAGCTGTGCTGGTCAGGAGCCAGGTCAGCCTGAAGGCCCAGTCCTGTGGGGACAGCAGTGGACCTGGGACAGGCAGCTGAGAACCTGCTGCCTTCAGCCTTACCATTCACTGCCAGTCTGAAGAGACAGTGTTTTCCCAGCAAATTAATGTGTCCTGTGACCCAGCCAGGGTCTCTCAGCCTCAGGCTGTGGATTCCTCCTTTCCTGCTGCTTCCCCGCTTGTCCCTGGCTCCCAGCCTGTCCCTGGGTCATGGAAGGGACAAACACCCACCTCCCTGGGTTCTCCCCAGGAGCCCATGCATGAATGTTGCAGGCAAGAACTATATGTGTTTGTCAGTTTAAATCGGCACATGAAGCTGTGTGTGTTTATGAGCTTCCCTGTGATGAATTTGCACAAGATCAAGGTCTGATGCCCAATCAGGGTAGTTAGCATTTCTTCACATTGGGAACCTGTGCACTCCTCTCCTGTGGTTACTTTGACACAGAAAATAAATTGCTGTAAACCACGCTGCCACCGAACCGTGCCATGCATTGCTAGAACTCGCCCCTTTCTGCTGCATTTTGGTCTCCTTTATCCCCTCCCCCACCACTTCCGGCCTCTGTGGCCACTGCTAGACTCTGCTTCTGTGCTGCATGGGGAATGCTCCTTTAGTCTTTGTCCTTCTGCACCTGGTTTATCGCAATGGAAAACAACCATCTCCTCCAATCCTAAATGGTGGAGTGTGTGGGGCCAGCAGCCCTCAGGCCAGCCTCAGGGCAGCACCAGCCTGGGCTCACGGTGAGCCTGCCCGGCTCACGGCATCTCCCCTCGCTTCTTCTCGTGTCTAGGGTGAGCCTGGGGACCCAGGACCCAAGGGAGGACTGGGGAGCCGCGGCCCTCGTGGAGAGACGGTAAGGTGCCAGGCGCCTGGCGGCTCTGCAGAAAGGGGCTCAGAGGCAGGCAGAACACGGGAGGGCGCACCAGGCCATGACCGCGAGGGTGGCACTGCTCCTGTGATGTGTTCTGTGGCAGTGGTGGGAGGGGCGGTAGAGACCTGCACTTCCTGTGAGTGAACATGGGACCTGCGGCAGCTGGATGCCTTCCCTTTAGGGCCTGTGCTGGATTCCTGGGAGTTTTTCTACAAAGAAGTAGATGACTTTGACCTAAGATTGATTTGGAAGTTATGGGTCCTGGGAACCAACTGCAGGACCTCGAGCTTGCCAGGCAGGTGCTGTGCGGCTAGGCTATATCCCCAGCAGCCCCCTGCTTTTTTGTTATTTTGAGACAGGGTCTCACTATGTAGCCCGGGCTGGCCACAAACTCAATGATTCTTCTGCCTCAGCCTCCCGAGTGCTGGGATTACAGGCGTGGGCCACTGCCTGGCTGGAATTGGGTTTGATAAAGTCTCAATCCAGATAGAAATGATTTCTTTTGAATGCGACATCCTCAGGATAGAAAGTATTACTCCACTTAAATACACTCCAAATGTCATAATAATTTTGTAAAATCATTTCTATGAAAGAAAAAGAAAGCTGCATGTCACAGAGAATTCCTCCAACACGAGTCACTATCCAGGGACAATCCCTAATTGGACCAGCTTCGTTACAATCCTCAAATTTTAAAATATGTTCTCAATTCTTGTATTCAGCTATAGGAAGTTTTTAAAAAATCGATCTGTGCTACTTTTAGTCTCAGAAGCAGAGGCAGAAAATATTTAGACTGTAAAATCTATTCATGTCCCTGGAGGAAACCTCACCTGGTTCTATTTCTGGACTCTGGGGGCGACACCCCTTTAAACGTCCATGTCTGTTTACAGTGCTGCACTGGCTGGATAGTGATTCTCTGATATGTCTGAGAGAGGGGCAGGACCGATGTGGATTTTATATAATGTATGACCCTTTGGGGAGCTAATGATGCCCATTCTCAAGGTCCCGCATGAGAGCATGGGAAGGGGTGTGTGGAGGACAGGGCAGGCTGGGGACAGGGGAGCGAGCCCAGTACCCAGGCCGCCCGAGGGCAGGAGGGGTGGAGCTCAGCGTCCCTGTGTGGGGTCGGACTGGCGCACAGACATTAGAGTTGAGGTGGCTGCCAGGATTCCTTCCTAATCCCAGGCTCCCAGGCTCCATGAGATTCCTCTCTGCATCCAGCAGCATCTTCACCTCTGGGGCTGTTTAGAAGGATAGCATTGCTTTAGGACATTTATGGCTCTTTATCTTTGCAGCCCTGGGTGCCACACTGCTAATGGCACCCTGAGCACCCATGGCCTCTGGATGTGGCCTTGCTCATGCGCCACAGGACAGGGGTGGTGTCCTTGTGCCTAGGTCTGGAGACGTTTCAGGGACTCCAGGCTGTCTGCTCGGGAAGGTAGCGGGGGTGTCCGCTCGGGAAGCTTCGGTGTCCCCAACATGGTGACCCCTGTCACGCCCTCTTCCCTCTCTTAGGGAGACGACGGGCGAGATGGAGTGGGCAGCGAAGGTCGCAGAGGCAAAAAGGTATGCAGCTGCCCACACTTCTCCAAGAGTTCTTGCCAGGTGGCTCGCAGTGCAGCTTCTGGTGTCTTGGGGTTTTGGAGAATGGCTTCTTTAACTATTATTTTTAGTAATATTTTGTGCTGTACTGAGGTTGTTTCTTTGAAAATCAATTTATTTTAGATGACCTTGGGTTGGTACACAAAACTGAGTCATTTATATGTATCTTTTACAGGGAGAAAGAGGATTCCCGGGGTACCCAGGGCCGAAGGTAAATATTTCCCGCGTGGTAGGACAGCACCATGTGTGTGGCAGTCTGCTGTGTCCCTAACCGAGAACTGGACATCCTCATTCTGGGCCTCCCCGGGGAAGACCCCACCCCATCTAAGACACCCTCAGTTCTTTCAAATGGAGATGACAGTACAGCTTGTCATGATGCCCATGAGGCTTAAATGGGACATGGCTGCACGAGAAAGACCTTTGCGAGCTGTAAAAGCTGTCACCTATGTGACACTGTCATCACTGATTCAGTAAACTCCAGCTGTGTGCAGATGCCTTTGGCACACTGGAAGCCCCGAGAAACAGCTCAGGGGACCCCTGGATGCCACCCCTGCCATTGGCCAAGCCTCGTCAGGACCTTCTGTCCTGGAGCTCACGGGCCTCCTCTTGGCTGCCTCTGCAGGGTGTGCCTGGTGAGCCTGGAGTGGAAGGAGCGCCAGGACCCAAGGGCGTCAGAGGGCGAAGGGTAAGGCCACCTGCGCCTCGACTGCAGGTGGTGGCGGGGAGTGTGGGTGGTGGTGCGGCAGGCTGCCGGGCCCGGGCGATGAGCCTTCCCTACTACACGCCAGTGACAGCACCTCACAACCTGCTGCGGTGTGGTCTGTGCCTGCGCCCCTCCGGAGTCCCTAAGAGCCCTTCATCCAGCACTCCAGAGTCATAGCCCACAGGTCACCCCCACCATGGCACAGGGAGACTCATGCTGTCTTGCTGGTCGAACCACCCAGACAGAAAGGCACAGGGCTCCGCGGGTGCCCAGGCTGCCCACGGGTATCCCTGGCAGAATAGACTTTCCAGATTTCCCTCTGTGGAAGTTCACCAGCAGCCTTACACTGGGTCCTGCTTAGGAAATTGTGGTGTAGATAGAAGTGAACGCTGCTAACACCTATTTGAGGCTATAATGCAGTGAGACGCTAAGCATCAGGACCCTGTTCATGCGGGTGCTGAAGACAGTCAGCTAGGTCACTGCCTGCCCAGGGACCCAGCTGCTTACCAGGCACCAGTCCAGGTTAGTCCTTGGTTGTCCTCCTTATGGTTGGTCTTACCTTGGTGCCTGCCTTACCTTACCTGCCGGAGAACACAGCCGAGGGGGCATTGCATTGCACCGTTGAAGTTATTAGTCCTCACTTTTGCATTTTGGGGACATGCAAGCTCCCTTGAGTGAGAGATTTTTCCTAGAGGTGTGGGACACTAGCCAGGTCCCCTTCCTGCCTGCGGCCTGCAGGACTGAGCGACTTCCCCCCTCTGCCGCAACTGACCAGGCCTGTCCTGCCCTCTCCAGGGAGACTCAGGAGCTCCTGGAACAGTTGGACAGAAGGGAGACCTCGGCTACCCGGGGCCGTCTGTGAGTATCCATCCAGTTCCAGTTGGGCCACGGGGCGAGGTGGGGGCTGGGTGGTCTGGCTGTGGCCTCCAAAAATGCCCTACCCCTGCAAAGAAGCTGTTTTTTTTTTTTTTCTCTCTCTCTCTCTCTCTCTCTCTCTCTCTCTCTCTCTCTCTCTCTCTCTTTCTTTCTCCCTCTCCCCTTTCTTTCTCCCTCTCCCTTCTCCCCTCTCCCCTCCTGCTCCCTACTCCCACTGCAGTTCCCCCTCCCCCTCCCCTTCCCCTCCCTCTCCCTCTTTAATTTTAAAATCCACTTCCCTTCTGGTATCAGAATGGAGAAAGGCCCTTTTGAATCTTGGGGCAAAGAAAAGCTTTTGGAAAACACGTCAAGGGGCCAGGGACGCAGCTCAGTGGCACATGTTTGAGCCCCCATTTGCTCCCAGCACCACGCGCAGATGGCACACATGTTTCATGTGGTGCTCCATGGTCCTGGGAATCTTTCATTCGCCTTTGGAATGTCCTGGTAGAGATTTGTGTAGAGGACAAAGCAGAGAGAGCAAACCTCAGTACCCATTGCTTGTAGTGTATGGAAGAATCATTAGGTCCTATCCAGGTGGGGGCCTGCTTCCTTGGGCTAGAAAATCCTGGAGTTGCTACGATTCATGGCCTAGGACCCGCTGGACTGGCTACTTCCAGGAGCTGGGAGGTGGACGGGGCATCTAATGGTCTGTGTCTTTGCTTCCTCATTGGACAGTTTCCTCACCGGAAGGGGTGAGGCTTAAAGGGGGGCTGGGCATATTGACTCCAGGCTGGACAGTTACTGATACAGGGAAAGAGCATGGGATTCCTTTGGCGCAACCAGGGAGAAGGCAGAGTCAGGGTGTGACTGAGAGGCAGGCAGGCAGAGCGGAGAGGGAGGTGGCTGGAGGGGCACTTTCCACACGGAGGTGGAAGAGGTGACAGGCAAGGCTTCTGGGGATCAGCACGCATGAGCCAGCCTGCTCTTGAGGGAAGTGGTCCGGGCTCAAGCTCCGCTGTATGATTTGCAGTGCATGCCTGTACCCCACCTTCTGGGAGGCTGAGGCAGGAAGATCTTGAGGGGCAGCCCAGCCTTCGCAGTTTGGTGCCCTTGTGAGCCCGTTGCAAGATCAAAATGGTGCAGGGCTAGATGTAGCCCGGCACTAGGGCCTGGGCTCAGTCTCCAGGCCCTGCCACCATCCCGGCTGTTGTTGACAGAGTCTGCCCAGGGCCACGCTGCTTCACCATGGGTGGGTCTGCGGCCCAGCGCTGTTCTGTTGAGTGCTGTGTCACGTGGTGCCCCACTACAGCCTTTTCTCCTTGGTTTTCCAGGGTCACAAGGGCAACCGTGGAGACTCCATCGATGTAAGTTACATGTGTCCCCCTCGCCCGTTGTCTTGTCAGCCCCGTGCATGCCATCCTCACATGCTCTTCCACTTCCTTTTGTAGCAATGCGCCCTTATCCAGAGCATCAAGGATAAATGCCGTAAGTACCTGCTTCTGTGTCTGGGATGCGCACGGGTTTGTGCTTGGCACCTGCACTCGGGATGTGCTGCTCACGCTTTCTTCTGTTTCCTTTGCAGCCTGCTGCTATGGTAAGTTGGTCTCCATGGGCTGGCTTTGTACTCAGGAAAGGGAGACCGTTCCCTAGGGGTGAGGCTGGCCTTTGTCACTCCCTTCCTCCAGGGCCTCTGGAGTGCCCCGTCTTCCCCACGGAGCTCGCCTTCGCCTTGGACACTTCAGAGGGCGTCACCCAGGACACCTTCAGCCGCATGAGAGACATGGTCCTGAGCATCGTGGGCAACTTGACCATCGCCGAGAGCAACTGCCCACGGGGGGCCCGCGTGGCTGTGGTCACCTACAACAACGAGGTGACCACAGAGATCCGGTTTGCGGACTCTAGGAAGAAGTCGGCCCTGCTGGACAGCATTAAGAACCTCCAGGTGGCCCTGACGTCCAAGCAGCAGAGCCTGGAGACCGCCATGTCCTTCGTGGCCAGAAACACATTCAAGCGCGTGAGGAGCGGCTTCCTCATGAGGAAGGTGGCCGTGTTCTTCAGCAACAGGCCCACGAGGCCAACCCCGCAGCTGCGCGAGGCGGTGCTCAAGCTGTCGGACGCGGGCATCACACCTCTGTTCCTTACCACCCAGGAGGACCGACAGCTCATCAACGCTTTGCAGGTGCAGGCTCTGCACTGTCGCCTATCGCTCCCCCATCCCTCAAAGGGAGGGTTCTTGGGCACATCCACACTGCCCTAAGGGGTCATGTGTCCCCAGTCTCTGAAAGGTCCCCCTGGGGCCAGCTGGCCGAGATGGTCTCCTGACTGTCTCTCTTCCCCACGGCTGTGGCACTGGGCACAGTCCAAGTGTCTGTAACTTCCACTCTCTGGCTCTTCTGGCTGGTGATGCTCTTGCAGGGGCTGCATACCTGGGCCTGGGTGCTGCTTGATGCTCTGCTCTGCAGCGGGGCTTCCTTACCTCCTCAGGAGAGTCTCCTCTTGGTGAGGACCTCAGGGCATGCTGACACGCACCTCTGCACAGGCCCTTCCTCAGCTAGTGGCGGTGGGTCTGAAGGGCAGGTGCCCTGGTCCCGAGCGAGACCTTGGCTGCCTGTCCACCTGCCCTCCAGAGCCACAGAGACCCAGCGTTGTCCTTGCACCTTCTGTCCTGAGGGTCGAGGCTGGTGTGAGACGTCCCCAGTGTCTCTCCTTCCAACCTGGGCGCTGTGTGGTTTTATCGTTGCCGTGTGAGTGGGAGGTTCCTAGGCCCTTGTTAGTGTTTATTCTGCCAAATCACAGGTAAGGCCAGGGTCAGGAGGCCGAGCTCAGGGGCCCAGCTTTTAACCCGGGCCACTCATGGTGTGCTCCCGGGCAGGGCCCCATCTGACATCTTCCCTTGGGAGGGCCGAGAGCCTGGAAGCGTGCACATTCTTCATGGGTGCCTTTGTACATCCTCCACCCACTGAACCAGTTGTTCACTAGGTGATCGCTGGCTGCTGCGGTGGGCAGGGTTCACCGCTGGAGCCACTGCCTTACCAGCATAGCCATTGTCTTGACCCAAGCACATGGCTCCTGTTATGAAAATGGCTGTGGTGTTCACATCCTCGCCATTTGCTGGCAGACTCACAGCACTGCATACACACCATCTAGCCTCATTCCCCAAGTAGGAGCTAGGAAGGAGCCCCTGACCCCATTTTACAGCCAACAAAGTGGAAGCTGAGCTAAGTCACCTGGAAGGGGCCCAGCAGGAAGTGCCAGATGGGATCTGACCCCAGCTCAGAACAAAGCCTGTTTCCATGTGCCCGCTGTGCCTCCTCTCCTGCCTGCAGTGCCAGGCTGGCACTGAGCCCCGTGAGGCTGGCATGATGGGTGACCCAGCATCTCTCTTGTTCACCCCAGATCAACAACACAGCGGTGGGACACGCGCTCGTTCTGCCCGCGAGGAGGGACCTCAGTGACTTCCTGAAGAACGTCCTCACATGCCACGTGTGCTTGGGTAGGGTCTCCTGGCCGGGCCGGGGATGCCCGACAGGCACAGTCACAAAGCGTACCTCTCTAGAGGGGCGTCAGAGGGAAGGTTCTGATCCACCGAGGGCTCCTCTCATCCCGAGACTCAGAGGCTCATGTCAGCAGCACTCCTGCTGTCTGAGTGGCTTCCTCGTTTAAAGCAGACCCCAAAACAGAGTCCATGATGGAAATAGCTGGTTTTCTAGGTTACAGGAGAACAATCAAGGATTAAAATGCTTGGCTTTTTAGAACTTATTTCTTCCAATAGTGGCAAAGAACCCAGGCAATGAGTCCTTGTTTATTTTTCAAAAAAAATTATCGCTGGATTGATTGGTGCTGGGAGCTGAGCTGAGGGCCTCCGCACTGTGTTGCTTCTCATCCCTTTTTGCAATTTATTTTTATTTCTCCAATCTGTATCAGTCCACGTCTGCAGCACCCAGCTGGAGCTGCACAGAGCGTGCTTCCTTCTTTCTATTCTGTGTTCCTTTCCTCCACCTCTTGGTCCTGTCCCTTTGGCAAAGACCCCTCTCCCTGTTCCCTGCTGTCTACCTTTTATTTTGCTGTTTATATATGCTTTGGGTTTCTCAGGTGAGAGAAACCATGTGATATTTAAGCTCACATGTCTAATTTTTTTCACTTAACATTGAGGCCTCAATGTTTTTGTTTTGAGACAGGGTCTCCCTGACCCACTAAGTTGCCCAGGCAGGGCTGAGGCTCGCAGTCTGCCTGCCTCAGACTCCCAGCTGGGATTACAGGCGGGCACCCCATGCTCAGCTTCCTTTTCTAGTTTTAAATGCTGATAGTGTATAAAGGTTTTAGTTGACTGATTTGCTCCACCTGGGGAGAGTTGGGATGGAAAGCACCCCGGCTGGATTGATGTCATGAGACATGAACAGGTTTCTCTCTTCCGCGGCTGACTTTGGCTCCCTGACATGTGACAGGCTTGTGTGCCATGGGACACAGAGTAACCAGGCTACCTGCTTCCTTCTAGATATCTGCAACATCGACCCATCCTGTGGCTTTGGCAGCTGGAGGCCTTCCTTCCGGGACAGGAGGGCAGCAGGCAGCGATGCAGACATCGACCTGGCTTTCATCTTGGACAGCTCGGAGACAACCAGCTTGTTCCAGTTCAATGAGATGAAGAAGTACATTGGCTATGTGGTCAGGCAGCTGGACCTGAGTCCCGACCCCCAAGCCTCCCAGCACCTTGCCAGGGTGGCCACGGTGCAGCACGCACCCTACGAGTCTCTGGGCAATGCCAGTGCGCCGCCCGTGCAGGTGGAGCTGTCCCTGACAGACTACAGCTCCAAGGAGAAGCTGCTGGACTTCTTGGGCCGCAGAATGACACAGCTGCAGGGAGCCAGGGCCCTGGGCAGCGCCATCGAATACACCATCCAGAACGTGTTTGAAAGTGCACCACACCCGCGGGACCTGAAGGTCATGGTGCTGATGCTCACTGGTGCGGTGCAGGGCGAGCAGCTGGAGGCGGCTCAGAGAGCCATCCTGCAGGCCAAATGCAGGGGCTACTTCTTTGTGGTTCTGGGCATCGGCCAGAAGGTGAACGTCAAGGAGACCTACAGCTTTGCTAGCGAGCCCAACGACGTCTTCTTCAAATTGGTTGATAAGTCCACTGAGCTCAACGAGGAGCCGCTGATGCGCTTTGGGAGGCTCCTGCCATCCTTCGTGGGCAGTAAGTCCTGTCCTGTGTGAGCCGTGCACACCCTGGCTGTGGCTTCTGCTGGCCCACGCCCCTGGAAAGATAATCAGTGCTGACGTGAGCACGTCCGTTCCCTCAACAGGTCTGCTGCCACCTGCCTTGTGGCAGAAATGCTCTGAGGCAGAGAGGGGAGCACACTGATAGCCATGTCCATGTCCCTGATGTGTTACTCAAACCTGGCCGGGCACCTCCAGGCCACAGGCATTGTGGGTATGCCAAGGAGACTGTGTCAGTTTGGGCTTAACTCTGAGCCCCAGGCCTGGACCCTTGCTCCAGGTCTTTGCTGATGGGGCCCCTTCCTGGTGGCAAATCCACACTCCTCTCTAAAACCTACCCCATCTCCTGCCCACTCTGGGGGCGTCCCTCCCCTCAAGGCCCTGGACATGGCATTCAGTGCTTCTCTTGCACAGCCTGTTGGTCTCTGGTCCCTGCAGACCACGTGCACAGTCAGCCCAGGCAGTGGACTGAGCAGTGCGGAAGGTCTATAAAGCATCCCCTGCTGGATACGCACTGGTCCAGGGAGAGTTGAGGTCCGTGAAAACAGTATTCATGTTTATGAAGGTCTGTCCCCAAAAAGATTTAGGGAAAAATGTGGAACAAATGTAAGTTTTACATTTATCGGAGGACATTCGACCTGTCTTCAGAAGATGAAAAAGTGTTGCACGATGAAGCATCAGGAAAAACAAAACAAAACAGACAAAAAATCAAGGAAATATTTAGAATAATCGGGTTATGCTGTGATGACCAGCAACTCGTGCTTGCTAAACTTTTCATTTACATTTTTTTCTAGTTTTGTCTTCACTCTCATCTTGAATATTAGCTTTAAGCAAAGCACCAGAACACCACAGACAGAGCAAGCTGACTTAAGATGCTCGAGGCATTGAATGCCATGTGATTTAATACTTAAAGTCACTGTGCTTAGCGTTGTCTTGGATAGTTAATTTAATAAGTATTTATGTGGTGAGTGACTGTCATGCAGGCCATTTGACCTGTGAGTGGCTGGTTTTGATGTCTGTGTGACTCACACTCAGCAGAAAAACTGTTTTCTCTGTTGCTTCCCAGGTGAGAACGCTTTTTACCTGTCCCCAGACATCAGGAAGCAGTGTGATTGGTTCCAAGGGGACCAACCGGCGAAGAATGGTGTGAAGTTTGGTCACAAACAAGTGTAAGTGATGACAGTTTTTAATCTCAAAAACTGTAGTGCGGGAGGAAGGCAGAGGTCCTCAAGGCAATCCGTGCCAATTAAGCATGAGGATGTGGCCATCTGGAGCACGTGACCTACTAAGGTCACCTGGCTCATCCTTAAAGACCCTGTTGTACCAGTCTGTGTTTGCCACATAACAAAGTACCCATAACTTAGTGGCTTAAAATAACAGCTCTCTGTTTACTTTGCAGTTCTGTGGCTTAGTAATTCCTGACTGAGTTCTCTTGGGTGGTTCTCCTGGTCTCTCTTACAAAGGATGATAAAAAAATACATACCAGTGTCTTAAATTTAAAAATGTATTATAGCAAAAGATTAATTACCATGAATCCCCTCAAAACTCTCCCGCTCCCTTCAGACACGCCTACCCCAACATGCATGCCATGTTCTGAAGCAGCTCTGGAGTCCTCTTTCTTGAGTGTCTTTATGAAACGTGATAAAAAATATGGTGAATGCCACTGTTGAGATGTCATCTCACAGAAAGACAGGCTCGTAAAAACATCACAGTGTCTTCTCACCCACCCTGTTCACTGGATGTGGTGCTATAAAACTTGTGGCTCTTCCCCAAAGTCAGAATGAGCAGGACAGGTCAGTGTTTTGAGCTGATCCAGGATGTCAAGACAGCCACAAGGGTGCGACTAAAGACACTCAGGGAAGAGGCTCCAAGGCTGCCTCAGAGCATGGCCAGGATGATGGGGTGAGCGAGCTTGACGCAGGGGGGCATCTTGATGAGACTCGTCATGGTCTGCCTTTTACCGGAGTGATTTTTAAACTTACACACGTCATGGCTTGCCCAGGTTTGCTGACAGGTGCAGCATCATCTGTGTGAAGTTTGTCTTTGCAATTTTTGCTTTCCAGAGGATATTCAGTAGCATGTGTAAGTCCAGAGCCATGAAAGATGAGGCAGAGGCTCCAGAGCCACATACCCCGCGAGACGGCGGCCATTCATGGAGACAGCGTAGGGTTCGTTTTCAAACCTGGGCATGTATTTTGCTAAAGTAGCAAGTGTCCCAGAGCTCATGGGGTCATCTCTGTGTCAAACAGCATGTGAAAGAAAGCGTGGTAGAGGTGATGTTCAATTTGTTTTAACAGAAATGTTCCAAATAATGCTACTTCAAGTGTTATAACCAAGCCAGTGACCACAGTGAGGCCAGTGACCACAACAAAACCGATGACCACCACAAAATCAGCAACCATTGTAAATCTTCCACCTGCTAAGCCAGGTGCTGCAAACCCAGCTGCCACAAAGCCCGTGGCTGTGAACCCAGCTGCTGCGAAGCCTGTGGCTGTGAGCCCAGCTGCTGCGAAGTCTGTGGCTGTGAACCCAGTTGCTGTGAAGCCTGTGGCTGCCAACCCAGCTGCCACAAAGCCTGTGACTGTGAACCCAGCTGCTGCAAAGCCCGTGGCTGTGAATCCAGCTGCCACGAAGCCCGTGGCTGTGAACCCAGCTGCCACGAAGCCTGTGGCTGTGAACCCAGCTGCCACGAAGCCTGTGGCTATGAACCCAGCTGCCGCGAAGCCCGTGGCTGCCAACCCAGCTCCTGCGAAGCCCGTGGCTGCAAACCCAGCTGCTGTGAAACCTGCAGCTGCCCAGACTGTGGCCACAAACACAGGCAGATCCACTGGGGCAGTGAAGCCAGCAGCTGCAAAGCCGGCAGCAGTGAGACCCCCTCCCCCTCCAGCAAAGCCAGCTTCCACCAAGCCAGAGGCCCCCAGGACACAAGCCAAGGTAGCTGCTGCTACCAAGCCAGAGGCTTTCCGGCCACAGGCCAAACCAGCAGCCCTCAAGCCAGCCGCTGCCAATCCCATGGGTAAGATACCCTCCAAGATTCCTGCTTAGACAGGAGTAGAAATATGGCTGTCACACTGGGATCTGAACACCTGCATGGTGCACTCTAAAAGATGCTGGCCCCAGAATGGCATTGGCCAGACGTTGCTTTTTTCTGTGCTTTCTCTTATGACTCTTCCGAGGCAGGTGAGGCTCCAGCCCCTGGCGCCTCCTTTCTGGCCGGCCTGATCCTTGCACAGAGGTTGGAGCCCAGTTCTCTCTGGGGTGTCAGTCCACCTGGCCCACCACCCCTGGAAGCCCTATTGTCTAAGCTAAGGGGTGAGGTCCTAAGTGAAGTAGGTGTAGACCTCACGTAGGGCATGGGAGAACCAGACAGCCTCTGGTTCTCCGGCAACAAAGCAGGTGTTTCTGTGCTTGGTTTCTGGAAGCAGACCCCCTTGTCCCCAGACGGTGACTCAGAGAGATCTGGATGGACCCTCAGCAACCGTAAGCTGGCCTTCACACTAAGCACCTGGCTGAGGAGAATTCACCCCAAGGTGCCGGCCATGGCAGCATGAGGGAATTTGGTCCAGCAAACTAAGTCACGGCCTGGACCACGCACCCGGCCTCCAGAGCCTGACTTGGTGCTCCCTCTGGCTGTGAGGAAAACATCAGACACCAGCCACAGGCAGGTGGATCAGTGAGGCCCAGAGCGCAACACAACATTTCCGCGGGGAGGGCGTCAGATGGTTGCAAGCTCTGAAGGAAGACAGGGGAAGTGTGTGTGTACTCAGGAAAAGGCAGGAATGGTCTTCATTTCATGGGCTGAGAGAGCATGGAATCCTTGAGAAGAATTTCACATTGTGCCCTAAAATGTCATGACTTCACATATTTTAAATGGCAGGGCTCATTGTGCATTGGACCCTTAGTCAGTTAGCACATGGGATTTTGCATTTTCAAGGTATCTCCTTATTAGGGAGCTTTTCCATAAGAAAATAGAAAGGTGGTGGGCACCCTCTTGATGAATACGGAGGCCTTTAATCGCTGTAACTCTCACATTTCATGCCTGCTGGTAGATGACAGGACCAATATAAGGAGCTTGGAGCTTGGGCCTCACCCAAATTTCAGGCCCACGTCTGTCTCAGTGTCAGGGTAGGTGGATGTCATTTTTACCTCCACTGTCTGCTGTGCTCTGTCTTTCAGCGAAGCTGGTGCCTGAAATCCAGGTGTCTGAGGTTACAGAGAACAGTGCCAAGCTCCGCTGGGAGAGGCCCGAGCCCCCCAGCTCTTACTTTTACGACCTCACTGTCACCTCGGCTCATGACCAGTCCCTGGTTCTCAGGCAGAACCTCACAGTCACCGAGCGAGTCATCAGCGGCCTGCGGGCTGAACAGACGTACTACGTGGTGGTAGTCTGCTACATGAGGTCGCAGGTCCGGGCCGTCCTCCGTGGCACCTTCAGCACAAGTGAGTGACAGGGACTGTCATGGGAATAAACAGACCCTTGCTGAGTCTCTCCCTGGGGACCCATAGCACTCAGCAATAAAAATAAGCACTTGGGGTACTTTGGTTGTACCCTAGCTGTGGAAAAGCACAGAACAGAAATGGGGTCCAAGTGTGTTCCTGGGATGTGGCTCTCGGGCCAGGCCAGGTGGCACCTGGGAAAATAGGACCTGGTGGTTCTCTGCGCCACCACCCATGCCTATTCCCAAGCTCAGCAAATGGAAAGCACGAGCTGTACCTCCCCAGCCTTCCTGAGCACACACACAGCGCTCTCCCCTTGTTTGAGTTCTGGGAGTCCCGAGTGCACAGCCCCTTGGCCCTCTGGTTCTCTAGGTGGCAGCAGAAGAGTTCATGTAGGAGGTAGGGGATTCAGTCAGAAGCTCAGGGATGTCCTCCACTTGCTGCTAACAGATGGCTCTGTGAGCAGACGGCAGCATAACTCGTGTGCACAGGTCTCGGGGCTCTGTCTCCATGACCCACTCTTATGCGAGAGGTTCAGCCTGAGATGCAAACTTGGGTCAGTCACTAAGTCCTTGGTTCTTCGGTTTTTGATTCACCTACCAGCCACGTGTGTTTTTCTTTCATAGAGAAAGCCCAGCCTCCACCTGCACCACCAGCAAGGCCAGCTTCTAGTTCAAGCATCAATCTGATGGTGAAAACAGAACCCTTGGCCTTTACTGAGACAGGTGAGTTGCAAAAATGTTAGGTCCACTTCTGGCCCTGAGAAAGGGGTCTCCCAGGAATTCTGAGGCATTTTAGGTACTGATTCCGGATCATCTGCCTGCGTCTAATCACTGTGACTTCTGGGAAGAGAGTCCTAAGTGGGCTCGGTGGCTTTGTTTCGCATATTCCCAGGTGTTGGTAGAGATAGCCCTCTCTGCCCTCAGACTCTGCGAGGGATTGGATGGGAGTTGCTGGAAGGTTCCAGGCAGAACCCAGAACCAGTCTGCTGGTTACTCCTGAGCGCCTGTGGCAGCCAGAGTTGATTTGTGATCTGCGGAGCTGCATGGAGTAGGGTTTCCTCCACCCAGTGATTTAATCTAATTGGAAACTGCTTAGGAGGGCAGGGGCAACCCAGATTGGAACCACGAAATGGAGAGGTTTGGACCGGACCCAGGGGTGCGCTGGCAGCCGTTCTGTGCCTTCATCTCTTACCCCGTCCTGTGTGCCTTGGCCCTGGCTACTTTGATGTGACTCTGGCACTGGCAGCTGTGACCTACTCTGGTCTGGGCCATGCGATCTTGGGAGACCAGTCAGCCCTCAGTCAGCGGGACTTGAGCCCGGCCTCTTCGTCCTGGAGGTTCTGATCACCGAAGTGGTCTCTGTGCCGGCTTAACAGTGCCTAGCCAGAGCTCACACACCTGTGACAGCGATCAAAATTCTGCGAGGATGTTAGAAATAATACTGTCATACTGACCTCAAGGCAAACATTTCTGCTAAGTATGGGGAGTTTGTCCCTCTTTGCTGGGCTGGCCCAGTCTGGAGGAGGAAAGCATTTCTCATGACAGTGCTGACTTCTATGATTATGACAAAAGACATGGGCAGTGGCTTTTGTACTGTGCTGGATTAGGAGCAGCCATGGACCGCTTAATGCATAGACCAAGGCTTGTGTTGACTGTGTGCTGTCAGAGCAGCAGCGCTTCACTTCGAGCTGGTATGAGCGTGTCATTTCACGCTTTGAACCGTAAGTTTTTAAACTGTGTTCATTGTTGTCTCTTACCTCTCTGTAATGCCATCTTCCATTCCACTTCCACCTAGCTCGGAGCCCGTGGTTCCGAGTATTTTCTGAGCTCACATCCCTGCAGCTCTGGGGCCACCTGGGAGCAGAGGCTTTCTGATTCCCTCAGGTCCCTGCACTCCTTTTGGCCTTGTAGGTGGAAGGCACCTGCCGTCTATGAGTCCAAAAGCCCTTTCCGAGCTGCCTTCCATTTGGACCTGGGCCATCTAGGAAGAAGGAGCCACACTGGTGCTAGAATTGTTAAACTGCTGATCTTTAGTAGCAAGCAAGTGGCCTGCTAGCAGAACTGACAACTGTTTAATCATAGTTTGCCTTTGGAAGCAAATCTAGGGACTGGTCTGTGTAAGAGAAAGTTGCTTGGTCCTCCCAGTGGAAGGACTGACAGGCACTCCTTTCTTTGGTGTACCTTTGTGGAAAGGAGCCAGAACTGCATGCTGTTTTGCATAACTCATTGCATCATCTTAGAGAGTGTATAAAAACACTGCCCTAGACCCTTCATGTGCTGATGGTCAACTCCAACTAAAAGCCTGGAGGTAGGCACGTGCAGTAAAGACCCCCATCCTTGCTGTGGAAGAGAACTTGGTGTTCAACCCTTTTGATTTCTGCCCATAAGTAGTCACATGAGTCAATATCTGAGGACTGCAGCTGATGCTGTCTCTGGCCATGGGCCCCTGCAGCTCCCAATTCTTCCTTGTCTGGTCCTAGGAGGCTGTCTGGCCTCGGGATTGGCTTCAGGGAACACACAGCTTTCCCTCTCTGATGGAGCAGGGACAGTGGGTGCTGAATCTGTGTGTCTCATCCCCACTCGTTGGCCGACTTTACTCAATGTGAAATTTTCAGGAAATTCTGCTTCACTGAGAGAGCATGGTGTGGAGTCACCAGAAGGCCGTGAAGCTTGGGGATTTTTTTGGTTCTCTTATGTGTGGTCCAGAGGACCGAGAGTATCTAAACATGATTTAGTTAACATAAACAGCATGCCTTGAAACACGAGTCTGGTAGGCTGCTCTGTTTTTCTGTGTGGAGTTGCAAATTTCAGAACCAGGGAAGTGGTTTCCATGGAGACCTTTGATGGGCAGCTCTCTGTGGTTAGGGGATGAGCGTTGGAAATGGGGCTGGTGTCTCCATCAAAGCTCCAGGTCCTCAGGTCATCCCAGCTTCCAGGACACAGATGAAGCTAAAAACTTGTCTCTTTTACTCTGGCGGGTACACGTCCAGACTCAGGCTGTGTGTGTGTGTGTGTGCGTGTGCGTGCACACACACACATGCACGCATCTATACTGCCCAGTGATGCAAAGCTGAATGAGGTTATAAATGTCCCTGTTTTCCTTAAGAGCAACCCTCATGGCTGATCTCTGTAGTCCACCAGTGCTGAAACAGCACAGTCCCAGGGAAGGATTTAACACACATCGGCCCAGTGAACACTGTGCGCACCCACATCAACATGACGTCTTCCATTGCTCTTGCTGAATTGAATCCCAACTGAATATTTCCCGCAAAATGCTTGAGGTTCTAAATGAATAACGAAAATGGGGACACTGGGCTCTCATCTTTACCTTTCTCTGCCAGCCCCTTTCTCCCTTCTTCTCTCCTTCCTCTTCGTCATCTTACATATTTTCTTTGGGAGGGTTAAGATATTTTAATGATATTTATATTTTTGGAGCTAGGAGTGGAAACTAAGAAGTATTTCTTAAGGAACTTTAAAAATGTAGTAACTGCATTCTTCTTTGTGCTGTGCATACTTTGCATCTGAATATCAAAGAACGTAATCAGCATCAGTGCTTTGCAGATGTATTTCCTAGAGAAAAGTTCATCCAGAGAGAAGCTGATTTAGATTGATTCGAAGTGCAGGCTGAGGACCCCTCTCCCTCCTTCCTGTCTCGTTGACTGCCATTTGTGTCTCAGGAGTAAATAAAGAGATCATTGAACACACAGCCAATCCCTGCGCAGCTGAGCCTGCAGGGGTTGCCTTGTTTTAGAGGGAAAACACCTTTTCCTGTCCTGAACCTCAGTGCTCCAGGGAAGGGTCCAGGGTGACCTCCTTGAGGCCTGGCCGTCTCCCTTTGCACTGCAGGGCACTGCAATCATGTCTGCCTTACTGGCTCTGTTGGCACGTGCAGGCAGCCTAGGGAGCCCCAGAACAGTGGTCTCAGAAGTCAGGAAGATGTGAGCTTAGAACTGGAGGGCTTCTTGAGAAGAGATGCTGGCCCATTTTCATGCCCTTAGAACTAGAGACAGTGTGGGGCCTTGTGACACATTTGTCTCTGTTTTCCAGATGCGTATCTGTCCACTCTGATAGTGTCTTGATACCCCGCTGGCAAGCCCAGTTGGCATTCGGTCGGGACTCCTGTTGGAGTAAACATGGAGATGTGGGAGTGCGGGTTTGGTTCTAGAGAGTTCAAGTGCAAATCAAAGGAAGCTGGAGGGGGTGGGTGGGGTGGGGGCAGTGCACCTGTTTGGTGTGACACACCACGGTGTCCTGGGGTCTGGGTGGGCTTCTTGTAACCTCTTGAGAAGAACCTGGGGAGTGGGGCCTGAGATGGCCCTGATGCCACGGAACAAACATGGGCCATCTGGGGCAGGCCCTAGTGTGTCCCGGAGAAGGGAGGAGGAGCTGCACCCCAGCCCGCATGCTAAGTCCCCTCAGTGATGCTCCTTGAAAGCAGGTATTCCTTCAGCCATGGGTGTGCTGGAGAGATCCAAGGTGACTTCTGTAAGCTGTCCTTCTGCTGTGGCTCCCTTGGGTCTCGGAGGTCTTTGCCAGGGCTGCCAGGGTCAAAAGGGTGTGTACAAGGTGGCCCGGCTGGGGAGCACCAGCCCTCCTTACCCTCTTTACCAGCCAGGCAGCCTGGGTCTTGGTCCTGTGTGCCCTGGAGTCCGGTCCACTGTGACCATCGCAGCTTTGTTCAGCAATGGCTCACCAGGTTTCCCTTCCCTTTTGGTGCCAGTCAGAACCGCAGATGCCCTCCGTCTCTGTGGCAGGGCACACCTGCCCTGCTGGGTGTCAGAGGCAAAGGTGCAGCAGCTCCTCCTGTGAGGAGTTGGAAAAGCCAGGCGTGTGAGCCCTCTGGCTCATGCGCAGCATTATCTGTCCCAGATAACGTTTTGTTGAAAGAAGGCTTAGGCTTCAGGACTTGGAGATAACAGCTGACATCTGTGCCTCTCTCTCCCAGCATAGTCTGGGTTTGAACAGAAAGCTCTGTAAACAGAAGCCCCCTCCTGTAGACTGAAGCTTCCTCTGCAGATCTGGAGGGGACCCCGTGCTCCTGCTTGGCCCCTGCACCAGCGGTGTGCACTGGGCAGAGACTTCCTGCCCCCGGCGCTCCGCCTCGCTGTCTGTGAAGGCCTGAAAGCCCGCTCTGGGGGCTTCGCGCTCCTGAATTTTACTTACTTCCGTGCTTGCTCCGGCTGGTTCTCGTCGAAGTTGGCTGGCAAGGAGGCGCCCACTCTGCCCAGGTGCAAGTGAGCAGCGTGCACTTCCCGCGGGAGCCCCTGCTTCTGCCCACCTTTCACTTTCTGCCTCTCTGGCTTGTTAGGAATGGCACCACCCTAGTTTTGAGTTATATTCTGAAGGCATCTGAGTGCCATTTTGTTATGGAGCAAAAATAAGTGAAAAGCTCCAAAGTGTCAACATTCAGATAGGGACAGAGGGCAGAGTTGATTCCATCTCCTGTGGCCCGGTGGGACAGCTGCGTGGGACTCCGAGTGTAATTGACGAAGGCAGGCCTGCCTCCACTGGGTCTGGGCTGCTCAGCCCACGTGATCATCGCGTCTGCCCACGCATCAGGGAGGAGGCAGAGGGCTCCTGGGGCCTCTTGTGGTCCTGGCTGCATCGCTGTGAGCCCCGCTCTGCCCACCCAGAGCCCGGGGCCGAGGGTCTCACGGCGTTCCCCTCTCCCTTTCTACCTGTAGACATATGCAAGCTGCCCAAAGATGAGGGGACTTGCAAAGACTATGTGCTAAAGTGGTACTTTGATGTGAAGAAGGACGGCTGCTCGAGGTTCTGGTACCGAGGGTGTGGCGGAAACGAAAACAACTTCCACTCCCAGGAGGAGTGTGAGAAGGTCTGCCCTTCCGGTGAGTGAGTCTTCTCGTATTTGCCCTTCCGGTGAGTGAGTCTTCTCGTATTTGCCCTTCCGGTGAGTGAGTCTTCTCGTATTTCTACTTCCGTTGAGTGAGTCTTCTCGTATTTGCCCTTCCGGTGAGTGAGTCATCTCGTATTTGCCCTTCCGGTGAGTGAGTCTTCTCGTTTTTGCACTTCCGGTGAGTGAGTCCTCTCGTATTTGCACTTCCGGTGAGTGAGTCCTCTCGTATTTGTGGCTTTTGCAAACAAGATAAGAAATCCAGGTCAGCGACTCACCCCTGAGAAGGGTTTGAATCACAGTGATTATGATACATCTGAAAAAGAAGGTAAATTGCACCTTCAGACAAGGCAGTTGTTCAAATAAAACATACTTGTATTTTTGATCATGAAGAAGCACACAGGCAATCACTTAACCTCCTTTAGGCATGTTTCCAAGTCCTGATGATTTATAAAATAATATTTTACCAAACATAATATTAGAAAAATAGCATGGTGGTGAATTACAGACAACACCAAATACCTGCATGTATTCATCTCTACATGGTTTTGCTCCCTATAAATACTAATGTTGACATTGGGGCCTGTGGTACCTCTGTGATATTGGGCAATGCTGCGGGTGGCAAGCCAGCCGGTCCAGGGCCTGTGGGCAGCTCCAGAGTGGAGAATGCAGTTTGCCTGAGGCCAGCGGCCCGTGCAAGGTGCCATGAATCCAGGTGGTCACAGGAGCCAGTGACAGTGATGAGCTGAGAGAGACAAAGGGGTGCAGTTGGGGGCATGGGAAGTCACCACACACGCCATCCCTCCCGGTCAGTAACACGGCTATTTCCTGTCCTTGCCCTCCTCTGCCTCCAGGCTCTGTGCTCAACAAACCTGGACTCGTCGGTGTGATAGGAACCTAGGTGTGGCTGGCACAGCACGTACCTCTGGAGAAGAAGGAGGCAGCCCTCGGCGATGCTCCATCTTCGTCTCTGTGGAAGATCCAGGTGGACTCACTGGCTCTGTGCCATCATGCTTTGATTAACACCTGGACCCAGAGGAAGCCTTCTGCCACACGACCTATCAATTGGTGCTAAACGTGTCTGTGGACCCTGGCTGTTTGTCTCCAAACAGTTCCATCGTGTGCTTTGAATGTTGTGTACTAGGTAGCCACCGCTGGTGTGTATGTGGAGACCCCCAGCTCCTGCGCCATCTCGAGTCGTGTTCTGCCTGTTCCAGGCCCTGCAAGTCTAGCAAAAGGCCCCCCGAACCTGCACCTCTGTATACTTTCGCTTGGTTCTTTCCCCTTAGTTAAGCACAACTTTAGACAGAGAAATGAGTCTCACACCTTCACCCCCACACCCCAACGTCCCGGATGAGGTTTTGGGCTGATTTTCCTCTTCTACGTTGTCTGGCCGATGATCGTGGAGGAGGGGCAGTGTCCCTTGACCTGTGTGCACTGTTGGGACCAATGCCTTCGTTAGTGAATCCAAAGAAAGCCACAGGGAATACCTCTGGCCTTCCTCTAATTTTTTTTTTTTTTTTGAGGGGGATGGGGTTTAATTTTAATTTTAAATTTTTTAGGAAATTTATACAAAGAAACTTTTTAATAAAGTATATTGGAAAGTGGTGTGTGTTGGTTGTTCTTGGTGGCCTTGTTTCTGCAGACCCCATGGGGTAGCATCCCACCACCTAGGCTGGGTTGGTGGCCAAGCTGTGGCCCCTGGTCCTGTCATGGACACTGCCCTCTGGGTTCAGTGGGCAGGCAGAGGCTCTTTGCCTGGATGCTGCCTGGAGCCCAGTGGAGCCCAGGCCCTCCTGTCGGTGGTCCAGCCTCCTGCACCCAGCAACCTGGGCATGAGTCATGAGCAGGCCTGGCTTCTGCTGGGCCCAGCCCCCACCTCCCCACAGTGGTGCTCTGCCTAGCATGAGCTCACTCGCATCCCAAGATGCCCCCTCCCCACCCACGCTTATCCTGCCAGTCTCTGAAGACCCATTTTAAATGCTGTGGTTGGCTCAGTGGGGCCACAAAGGGCTCAGTAAAGGTCCTGAATTCCCTTCACATTGGGCTTTGAGCTAGGGGAGAAGGGCATGCTCAGTGCTTTGCTCAGTGATGGGGCTCACAGTGCCCCACCCCACAGGTGCGGAACCCAGGTCAGCATGCCTGCAGCCACCCTCAAGCTACACATGTGCAGGCCTGGTTCCTTCCCCTGGAGCAAAGGGATGTTTGTGCTTGGGCCATCGATGGAGTCTCCTGGGTGCAGCTGCTAGAGTGGAAAGTGGAAATCTCTGTGAGGCCATGAGGCCTGGGGCACAGCACCACACACCGGAGTGTATCAGTGGATGTGTGTGCTCTTACAGTTTTCACAGCGGGCGTCCACCATGAAGGTATTGGCGGAGTGGTGCTCTTCTGAGACACACACAGCCCCTGCTCTTCTTTGCCCCTGCCCTGCACTCAGCTATGCCAGCGCCCTCCTGGGGCATGCACTGCTTCTCTGGAGGTATCTGTGGGGACCCATTCTGGGGGAATTTTTTTGTCCTTTGCCATAGCTCCTGATAAGGGAAATCCACCCTGCAGACTCTCATGCTGGCTTCCTTATCAATAGGCCACTCTGTGAGAGTGCTGGTTGGAGGCGAGCCCCTTCTTGGACCCAAGAAGGGGCTAACTCATAAGGAACTCACAGGGACCCTGGCTCACCAACTGGCTTCCCTTTCTGCTCAGTCACGCGTGCCTTTGCGGGCTGAGCGGCTGGGCATGTGGCCAGCGCCAAGCTGCTCTCCAGCTCCTGTCTCACTGGTGGGGAGGGGGAATGAGCCAGACCACTGCACCTTCCTCCAACTTTGTGTGCTGTCGTAAGGCCAGGTAGGAGCCTGGCCTTGGGGAAACGAGAAGAGGAAGGTCCACACATCGTCCTGGGAGGGAGGGAGACACGTGGCCCCCACAGAAGCCCTGCTTGACCCTTCCAAGGCCGCCAGGACCTTTGGCTTCGGTCCTTTTCCATCTCAGCAGCAACACGGCAGTCTCGGCATGGTGCTCTGAACTATGGCTTTGGTGGTCAGCTCTGGGAAACCACCACCCACAAGGCTCCCAGCACCAACCCTTCTGGGACCCTAGAGAGCAGTGAGTGCTGGGCCTCAGCGATGGGCAGGGCCCTGCATTTCCCCTAGAAATCTCCTCTAGCGATTTACTGAGTAGGGACACAAAATGGATCTATGTTGGCATGACTTGAGGTTATTTCTGAGTTCTCCTCAAAGCCCCTAGGACTCAGGATTTAGGTGCAAGGAGTTTCTTGGGAGGCAAAGGAAATCAGTGAGCAGCCAGGTGTGGAGAGCGAGACGAGGTGGGAAGGACAGGGCTCAGTGTGGGCCAAGTGCTCCCACTGGGGCCCAGACACTACACTTCATACACTGGCTGTGGGGTCTGGCATGAGGGAAAATGGTCTCAGGAGAGTCACTGATGCCCACGTGTGCAGCATCAGGAGCACAGGTACGTGGTCAAACCCAAGGTATGTGGCTGGGACTCCACTCTGTGATACTGGGAGTCTGTGGGATGCTACAGCTCAGCTTAGTAGGACCACTTGCTTCCGACTGCGCCCCAGGCAGGGCCTCTGTGCTCCTCCTGCCCCTGTGGCCAGGATGCCCACCTCACTGCAACCATGGCAGGTCCCTTCATCTGCCCACTGTATCTCTGACCTGACCAGGGGCTGCTCAAGACTGCTGGGAGAATCACACCCAGGGTCTCACCTGAGGGTGGACAATAGGAGAAGGCAGAAGACAGCATGAATGTGATCGGTGGCCGTCTGTGTCCTGGAATACATGGGATGAACATGGGCAGTGGACGGAGGTGGGAAGGTGGTGGGCCTTGTCGGCATGGGCTTCCGTAGCCAGCAGCCAGACTCCTTTCCTCCGGGGTCAGGGAGGAGGAGAGGATGATGTAGATGTCATTCCAAGTTAGCTGGTGCACTTGAGTAAGATTTTGAAATTCCTTTGTGTAGATGGTGGGGTCTGTTGTGAAGAAGCTCAGTCTTTTCTCAATCTGGGAAATGTCCTCAAGGGACCAGGGCTCATAGACATTGACTAAACCCTCAGCCCCTGCCACCCAGTACAAGTGAAAGAGCCCAGAGGTGGGATTTGAGGGTTAAGTTGTTTAGAGCAGGTGTGGGAGGAGGGAGGAGACCAGGTGGGGAAGGTGGAGACACAGGATCACAAGGGGAGTCAGAGGAGGAGGGTGGACAGGAGAAGGGGCCAGGGAGGTCCCCAGCAGTGGAGGAGAAGAAGAAGGTGTAGGTGGCCCCTGATGTAGGGGAGGAAGGGCAGTCGCCTCTGGGAGGGGATCACCGGCAGCTACTGTTCACAGTTACATGGGGAGGGTCATCCAGGACCTCAGGAAAAGATAGTGCAGAGGGGAGGTCTGCTAAGCTAGGGGCCTCAGGTCTTTAAGCAAGGAGGACTTGTTGAGGGTTGCAAGCAAGACAGAGTTGGGGATGGCTATGAAGCATGAAAAAGGCCTGGACATATTGGACTTCAGACCGTTTATCATTGCTGTGGCCCATTATCCAATTTATATTGTGGCCAGGCTGTTTGGCAGAGGAAAACTAGGCATTTGACTTGAAGGTTGGAAGCCCAAAGAACCTCTAAGGACCGACTTGAGACACTCTAGTACAGAAGAATAGTTTTGAGAGGGTATTGAAGAAGAATTCCCCACAGTGGTGAGAAGATGGAGTGGAGGGTGGGTGAGAGGAGCCTGAAGATGATGATCTCGTTGTGGGCATCATCAAAGGGACTTAGAGCTAAAGCCCTCCGAGCAGGCATCCTCGGTTGGAGAGGAGGCTGAGTAGGGGAAGGAGCTGCTTGGCCTGTTGCATGACTTCGTAAAGGAGGGCCAGGGCTGGCTGAGAGGCGTAGAGCCGGGGGAGGAGCCATCCAGAGTAGACACAGTCATCCTCAGGGAGAGATCAGGATGAAATAGAAAGGGAAAGAGCAGAAGAGGACATCAGTGTTGGAGAGATCCTGGAGGGAACCCTGGAGGAATTCAGAGGCTGTCCAATCTAGGTGTAGTCAGGGGAGTCACAGGGGAGAGGGCTGGAGGTGCAGGGTTGAAGGAGACTTTGGGAGAAGCGGGTGAGGAGGTGAAAGATGGGGTCTGGGAGAGGGGGCAGAGGAGGGAGAGAACCATGAAGGGAGAGAGGAACTTAGAGTTTTGAATGAGGCATCTGGACGCGGGTGTCAGCAATGGGTGATGTCCAAAGCTCGTGGTTTGTAAGGAGGTTGGCCGGATGTAGACCGCAGGGAAAGCGATCCTGGGTTGGGAGGGATTGGTCCTGGCCCTGGACCTAGGTGCCCCTCTCGGGTTTCGGCACCAGATGAAAAGCCATACAGTTGCACCCGCACTGAACCTGACCAGACACACTGACAGGAGTAAAGCAGGTTTATTGGAAGCTCACGTGGAGAGCTGTCTCACCAGCCAAAACAGCACTGAACAAAGGGGGGCAGGAGCCTTTACAGGAGGGGGAAATAACAGCCAGGTCACAGGTGGACATCATTTGTCTTCCTTGTGGCTGCATCAGAATCAGGTGGACCTGTTCTGCAGTTCTGGACTTGGTTCTACATGGGACCAAGGGGAAGAGAGTTTGAGGATAGGGTGCCTGGGGAACTTTGAGTCCTGACCTATCCATCTTGCTTCCTGGCAGCCATCTTACTTCCTGGATTTCTCTTGCTTCTTGCATGGTGCACATGAAATTTGTTCAGCCTATCAGATTTTTTAAAATAAGCTACATGGGCTGGGGAGATAGCTCAGCAGTCTAAGCAACTGCTTGACAAGCACAAGGATCCAGGTTCAATCCCTGTTACAAGTACTATGTGCCATGTCTTCCTAGAACCTGAGTGTACCTTGCCAGCCCCAAAACTGGACATGGTAGTGCATGCTTATAATCCCAGTGCTGGGGAGATTGAGACAGGAGGATCACTATGAGTATGAGCTGTGTAGCGAGACCTTGTATCAAATAAATAAATTTTAAAAATAAGCTTTATGTTCAATAATATGTGAGTTTGAAACACTTTCCATACAATGCAAGGCACTTACGTGTCTGCGCTGACTGGAGGGTTTCCATGAATGACTCTTCTCTGCAGCCGTTACCTCCCTCAAGGAAGCTGATGTTCCTGCAGGCCCACGTGGCAGGTCCACAATGAACAGTTAAAGGATTCATAACATCCCCCCGGTAAATTTACACGTAGGTGTTTATCCTAAAGAAATGACAGGAATTCAGCACAGCATTACTTGCAGTGATAAAATTGAATTCTAATCAC